GTGCCGAATCGACGCACCCCAACAGGTACCGCGGACTTGCGCCCCCCTCCACCCCGCCTGGCTGCCTGCTAGCAGTGCTATATTTCCAAGGTGACGACCTTGCTGACGCACCACCTTCTTTCTAGGATCCGATCTTTGCCTCTGTGTGGTTGTGCTTGATTTTTTTTTTTTTTTTTTTTTTTTTTTTTTTTTTTTTTTTTTTTGGTATCATTTCTTTGCTTGGATTATTTCAAGTCCGCTGGTGTAAGCGCCTGAACCATACTCGTTCCTTCACTGAATCGAGTACAATCCTCCATCCTACGACTCCTGAGAAGGGCAATTTGCCTTCTTTCTAGGCAGGCTTACGAATTTAAGACATGGTCCACATCTCCAGCCGGCAAGTAGCATCGCCAAGACGACCGCCAAGAACACTAGGGATGAGATGAGATGAACATCTTCTGGTTGAAGATACCTGTTTGCCTGTGCCCTTTTGAAAACGGCTGGCATTCTGGAGCATGCTTGATCGACATAGATTCGGCCCACACTATCATCTAAAGATAGGTATCACAGTTTTGAGATGCGTCCTGTCCGAAACTAACAGTTCAGTGGATACACCAGACGTCCATTTTGTCATATGATGGATTCTCCGCCTTGCTACCCAAGAGGCTGACTTAATTCACTGGTTCGAGTTACATCAGCATTTGATTCGTGATGAATATGGCCAGACCACAGCGCTGCGGATGTGTCTCCCATCCTGTGAGAGGGAAGAAGCGCCAAGCCACGCGATTCCCGTGATGCAAACTAATGGAACGGCAGATAAGTACACGTTGTATAGACTAAGGGGGCAATCTTTCATCTAAGTCTGTCTCACCTGGTTAGCTGTGATTCATGGCAGCAATCGGCTTCCTTACTTGCAAGTAGCCAGGCTTATCTATGCCTCCTCTAATTTGACTGCTGGAGCGCCTCGAGACTCTCATGGATGCGCGTCCACTAGGCGCATTCTGTTTTTTCCAAGAGGCTAACAGTATGTGCTTGGTAGTTACTGGTATATCCTCCCATGGGAAGACTTTTCTCCCATTTCCCCCCCCTTTTCCAGAAGGCCTCAAGTCACGCATCTGTACACCATACGTGGCACAAAGATGTTAGTCGGCGACTCAGGTGATCCTACGGTGCTCCTTCGATCGATTAACGGAGATTGGCGCCTGCCGAGCTATTCAGGTCTGACTTAGGACTGCGACATGAAAACGGATCTCCATTTGCTCCCGCTTAGGATTGCTCGTTTCGCCAAGTGGCATGGAGTATCTTGGCATGTCGTACCGAGGCCATCTGATAGTGGTGCTGTGTCAGTGTGTAGACAAACATTCCGCAACCAAGACGATGTATTACATGACGGCTCTCCACCATCGATTGGCATCGTAATGTCCGGATGTACATCTTGTCTTTGGTGATAAGCCGAATATCATATCCCCATCAAGCCGTTAATTATTGGATACCTGATTATTGGGCTCGCATCCTCGCCATATAAGCATTTGGCCTAGCAGTTTCACAGGCGGCTCGAGTAACTCGAATGCCAGCCTGTGAGTTGCGCAGGCTACAGATCTTGGCATCCTGATCTAAGATCTTGGCGCTATTAGCAAGCGAGACAATGATGCGTTCAATTGTCACTCTTGCTTTCCGACAAATCTATCCCCGTCGACTTCTCACCTGAGGCTTCTGGTCATAGTGTTTCACACCAGTCGTCTGAGCAGGAGATTCAAGAATTCTTGGGCTTCTATTACTGGCTCGCTTGGAGCAGGCTCGTTCCCTTGTAGCAGCAGCTAGTGTTACTCTTAACCATCATGCCGTGTGAGACAATCAGCCACGTTTGAGTGCAAACAGACGGAAGGAAAGAGACGTGTACTACGTGTGATTCCGAAAGCTCGATATCGAGTCATCTACCTGTATCCTAAACGAAACGAGGCAAGCATTGCGAGCTATCATACGCATCCGCCTGCTGGATGAAGTGTGTGAAGTCGACTCAGCGAAGAGTGTATTTTCGGCCACGAAAATCTCTATATGGCAAAAGGAGGATGCAAATAAGTAACCGAGGTAGTTTGGTTCAGATTCATGCTGCTTGCACCAGAAGCCCCCAGAGTTGGCGGCCCATCAAGTAACTCGTCTTGATTATACGAACCGATTGGCTCTAAACTAATTCAGAGCTTTTGCCGTGCAGGTTAGCTTAAGGTGTTGCTCACGGAGTGAAGACCCGCAAAGGCTTCTCGATATCCCATCTATGGGTAATAACTGGCCATCATCTTCATCTGCTAACTTAACAAGGCGGCTTCGATTTAGCCTATAGGCCTGGCGAAGAACTAACCCTCAGCAAACAAACGTGACGAGATAGTTTCCAAAACTGGATGCCAATGTTGACTTCAACATATAACCGGTCTCGTCGACTACGAATCATGAGATAGAAATGACAGTGACGCCTTCCAGGAAACGTGTCAGGTATATTGCCTTATATATATCGGTATTCTTCGCCTCGGCCTCGCGCTCCGCTCTACCCTGATGGCAAGGAGCTGCGCCTTTGCGTTGATTGCGGGCTTCATTTATAAGCCCGCCCGCCGTACGGTGGAGAGCGTCGGCGTGGGGCCGCCGACGGTACTTTTCCCGCTTCCACTGCCTTTCGTGTCTAAGCCACGGCCGGTGGGAAAACTCCCGCGGCTCTCAGACGGAAGGGGGAAAGCTCCCGCAGTTCTCAGTTGGAAAGGATTTGTGATGGCCAGCTTGGTCTTGCTGCTCCCAAACCGTGACGATTTGATTCTTCTTGATTTCCAACCAAAATGTCCCTCTCTTGTCTGGAATCAACTATTTATATTTCCAATGGTACCTGTGTTGCAATTGTTACCACCATCATTCACTGTCTTCTCCCAAAAATCGGATAGAGAACTCCCTTCTTTGTTGAAAGTCACCTACTTTTGATTCAACATGTCTGAAGAATCACCTATCACCTTGTCCGTGGGGACTCATACCTGGTTCCCAAGCGATGAAGCCAAACTACAGGGCATCATTTCCATTATGCGTACTCACAACATTTCAATTCTAGACACTGCTAGATTATATGTAAGATCCTAACTTGGGCTTATCTATCTATCGATTTGTTAGGAAGAAGCACTAATGCATTTGGACAGGGAGGTGGAGCATCAGAGATGGCTATTGGAAGCTTACACTTGGGTCCAGAGTTTTCCGTTGATACCAAGGCGCCAACAGGCTTTGCAAGTGGCTTTGCGGACAAGATTGAAGAGTCGGCTGAACAGAGTTTGGCGGCACTGCAGACTCAAAGAGTATAGCCAACCTCTCAAGTACTTCTTTCGGGTCTCTAGATTTCTGACATCTCTTCTAGGTGCGAACGTACCTCCTTCACGGAGCTGATGAAACTGTCTCGTTTGAGAAGCAAATGGAAGCCATCCAGAAGCTCTATGAAAAAGGAAGCTTTGAGAGGTTCGGCATCTCCAACTTTAGTCGCGAGCAGATCCTCAGCATCTACGACATTGCCAAGTCAAAGGGCTATGTGTTGCCGAGTGTCTTCCAAACCAGTTACAGCCTTGCTGCTCGTCACCATGAAACTGAGCTGTTTCCAATGCTCCGGAAGCTCGGATTTTCCATCCAGGCATATTCCCCCATGGCAGGTGGCTTCCTAGCCAAGACTCCAGAGTACATCGAACAGGGCCTGGGGAGCTGGAATCCCGACACGGCGACTGGCAAATTTTCACGTGGTCTCTTCTATAAGCCGTCATACATGAAGATGCTTGGAGAGTTTGGAACATTGTCTGAGAAATCGGGCATTAGCCGAGCCGGCCTGGCATATAGATGGGTGAGACATCACTCTGGTCTCAAGAGCCACTCGGGCGATGAGATGATTATCGGTGCTTCAACCTCGGACCAACTGGCCGACACAATGAAGGAACTCGAGGGCGGTCCCCTGGAGCCATGGATTGTTCAGCGCATCGACGAGCTTTGGGAGTTGGTTAAGGATGAAGAGGCAATCGACAACTTGAAGAATACCCGCAAGGTATTTGGCTGATTGCAAGGCGTAACAAGACAAAGGCAGCGTCTATCTCAATAAAATGATGGAGTGATTGATTCAAGATGGTTTTCAGTAGAAAGAAAGTCTCAGAATTTGATGTTGGATAGCATTAAGATTAGGTATTGGATTGTCCAAGCTCCTAATTGAGTACTTGAACATGTTGCCATTCCATGTCGTGACAATTTGGAACGTCATAAGATAAGGGGCTGGCAGCAAATTGCTAACAGTAATGTCCCCACAGAAGGTCATGAGAAAAATATATACAAGAAGCATCAGTGGATGCAATCGTAGAGTACTTACCGACAGTAAGTACTCCGTACGTAATATGTACATGTGAAAGATATAATAGGCCATTGAATTTCGTTTATACGTCTTGGTGCTGTAGATGGAACTCGCGCGTAATGACTATGCCGCTGGGCTGAACGACGTCTCCTCCTACAGAGACATTTGTGAGCTCAATGCGTGGTACGTCCGGCGTCTCCTTGACAGGCACGCTATGCTCCGAGCCATCGTCTGTAAGATGCGCAAACGGATGCTCATCCGTCTCGTTGGCGGTGCTGTACGCTCGGGAGTGAGAAGTTGCGGTCACGAACCGGCTATCTCTTTGCCAAGTGCGAGGAGCATCCCTGTGATGAAGGCTCATCCTTAAAGTACCACTCGACGGCTGCTGCTTCTTTGAAGGGAGCGACGAGAGGCTGAAGATGCCAAAGGTGAATCTGCTTAGTACTGGCCTTAAGAAGGGAAGGCAAGCTATAAAGTGACAAAGAATTAGCCACCAAATAGTTGAATGGTGATTTCCGATGATGCTGTTAGGAATATTGGGTGTATCAGTGCTTACTTACCGCAGAAAATGGCCACGTTTCCTTCGAGAACAGACCAGAGAGCAATATCGACGAAATTCCAGGTGATATCCGGACTGGTCAAATTACCTTGGAGGAGGTAGTGAAGACGCACAATGGAGACGATCGTGACACTGTACATTGGTCAGATACTCTGGCAATCAGGAAGCCGAGATCAAGGTAGGGAGAGAGATATTAGCCACTTACAAGAGTCCCACGAGGAAAATTCCCGCGAGAGCCCATTTTTGTCCTTTGGGAAGCTGCAATTTTGTGATATATGGAAGAGGCAAGGCGAGCATCAAAACGTCGGTGACTATGGTTGGGATTGCATTTCCATAGAAGAATTTGACGGAATCCACGGTGCATTTGTATTGGTCTGGCTGTAAAGGATGCGTCGGGTTGAAGCGGTTCCACCAAGCACTGGTAGGTTGGCACTGAAAGATGGTCACAAGGATCTTTAAATACCAGTTAGCAAATTCTTGGTGGCTTCTATTTGCATTCTTGGTTCAAAGACTCACGACAGAAGTAGCCCACAGCAGGACTATGACGGCTAGGATGTAGATAGGAATCTTAACAGAGCTTCTGATCTTGAAGGACCGCCAATAGAAGGCAAGGATGGACCATTTAACGCATGCAATGGTCACGAAATAGCCCAATTCGGCGATGAACAGTCCAATTGCCCACGCGTATTGTGCATCTGGGGGGTCGGCCCAAACATGTTTGCCAAGGCCACGACTGACAGCTGGTGAAGCGTTAGTGTTGTGAAGAGGAAAAAAGGAGAAGTGTCGACTCTTAGAGTATGCTGACCGTATGCACCCATCCCAAAGACATGAGCGCAGGAGGGAACCTAAGTAATCATTAGCATCACTTCCAGCTAATTAGAGACCAGAGGCACGTACCAGAGCCGCAATAATGAGCCAGTCGTCTATCCATAGGCTAATGTTCTTCATGCGACGGCTTAAGATTCGTAGCCCAACGACAATGACTGCTAGGATCCAGGTGACTATCGAGGTTACCATGATGGAAGCCCTCCTGCTCTCGTCGAGATTGACCCCATCGGGAGGCGGAGGAAGTGTGGCCATGTTCAGTGGTATGTGGCAACGTAGTGTCTGTAGGTTTTCGTACTTGATCGAAAAAAGGAGAGACTATAAGGGTGACGGCTCGCGGGCCGTGACTGGGAGAGAAGCAGATAATGAACGATTTGAAGAAGAGCGCCCTTCCACCATACCCTTTGATACAGTGAAACGGATGGCCTTTGAAGAACTGATTTAGACTAGGCTGTCTTCGAAACAGTCCTTGTGATGTTCTCAAACTCCTGGAGCCCAATCCTGAACGTTTTGACTAGGTCAGAGCCAAGCCCACGAAACAAAAAGGCATAAAACGAGGCGCAAACGGACAACTCACGATGGTCCGTCTCCCGTCCAACCTATAACGATTCCTCTCCGCGGGTCCGAGACCCTAAAAAGCTCGCCGCCACCATGAAGAAAAAAAAGCCCACCTTGAATATAGTTCGGTGGTTTAGAGAATTAGAGCCGTCGTCGGTCTCGCCATTGCTGACGCCGGCCTGCGCCATGCCCGATTTCATCACATCTCCCCACTCACAAGTGGCATATGTCAAATCCAGCAGTGAAAGTATTTGAGTTGATCAACATGGCCCTGAGCGAGTCCAGGGCGGCAGGTGAAGCCAGTGGCTAGTTTGCCGATCTCGAGTAAGGTGAAGCACATGTGGGAGACGATCTAACTGCTCGAGATGCCTGACAGCCATGCGCTAAGGATTAGGTTGGCTTTGGTGGAATTGGCATCGGCAGAAGGCAGTTGGGGCTATTGGCATGGCTAGCAGGGAAGATGCCTGGCCTGTTAGTTCAGCTGTCGAGGGGATGAAGATGTGGGAATGCGGACTTGTACGATGATTGGAGATTGGAGATTTGTGATGAAATGACTTTGTTGGTTTGTTGGAGAAATGTTGGCGATGAGTGGAATCTACATCCTTCCTCCTCAACAATACTTCACGTGATTCCTTATCGACAGCATCGAACCTCCAACGTATACAACATTTCGATATTGAATACCTTTCTATAAGCTGACCACCGACTACATTTATTTGACTGCCTAATACCAAGACGACGGTGTTCTTGGCATATCGCCGACACGGGCTCTTTCAGGGATTGCTACTTGTTGGTGTTAGCAAATACGTCTCTATACCGAGCCACTTGGAGGTAAGCAAGCAGCATAGTCAAACAATAGCGAACGCCACGAAAACTGTGATAGTAATCCGAAAAAATTCAACTTTGCCGCAAGTCAGTATGCGGACCCGACTCATGCGCTCCGTCCTCGTATCCACTGCTGATCGGCAGCTCTCTGTTTTTGTGCGTCTTCACTGCCGTACCGAGGAACTACTCCACAAGGCAGAAGGAGCTGGAAAGAAAAAGAGCGAAGAAAGCTTTGGTTCCGTGGGGACGAGAAGAGCTGCATGCAATGGCCGATTGGTGCGGCCGACGATGCGGACGAGATTCTTGTCAATATCCGACAAGATGAGCTTGCGGTGGTTAATATCAGGTGGGTGAATGCTTGGTGTGCATCATCACCCGCGAGTAATGAGAGACAGATATTTGGAGCGGTGATGGTCAAGCTCAACCGTTGGGCTAGCAACAGTGCCGGCCATCACATCCATTGTTGGCAATCACATTTGTCGATCTGATCCATCCTGGCCTTTGGATCGCTCCGCAACAACGGCAGTAATCAGCGAGGTACCCGGCAATGATTTTCCCGGTGCTGCCACATGGGCTCACATTTACGGCCTCCATTGACCCGACAAGGGTTTGGTAAAATTCATGTCTCGGTGGACCTTCATCAACCGGCCGATATGCACATGCTGGCAGCTCAGAGCCCTACCGCCGATCAGATAAAAATCCCCGGGTGGGTGAGATTCAACATGGAGAAGGACGCTATTTGTCAAAATGAGATCTGCGGTTTGCGGTCATGTGGTTTCAATGGGAAATCGATATGACGGCATAACAAGAGGGACTTTATTCTTATTGATTAAGCCGGCTTTTTGTAATAATTTGAGAATTCATGCAAAAGCCTTTCTAGGTGCTACATGGAGAATCCGGATGGCTGTATGCCATGTCGGAAATGCTATCAAACCGAAATCCCGGGAGACTCTCTTATCTTGGACAGATTGCACATCGCCAGTACGAATAAATGACAGTATGGTTGTGACGATTAGAATATGCAATTATGTATTTATATCGAAATTCCAAAGTTCATACCATAGCCCAAGCAGACACGGGGATAATAAACTCCAAAATCGTCCAAACTTGATATCCAAGGCGCCTCTGGCAATGCTCCTTCAAAATAGTATCCAGAACATGGCTAAATAGATGGTCCTCTAGAAAAATGCATTACGCCGCTTCCCAAACAAAGAGAGGGCCATTTCATGCTCATCTAAGAAATATCGCAATCTCATCATGAAAGCTTCTTCTGCATCAAATCCGCCAGCTCATCCAGTAACTCCACCGTCTCTGCCGGGCTCGCGATCCATGCTGTAGTTCCCACACTTCGCGCCTTGAAGTCGTTTGATCCGGCACTCAAAAACTGATCTCCCACGTGTAGTGTGTTTTCGCCCTTGATGGCTGTCAGAGCTGCATCGGCTCCAGTGGTTGCCCCGTTGCGTCTTCCGAACCACTGCTGGCAGACAGTCACGCCCCAGCTCTTGTCACCAATGTCAACAAAGACATCTCGGCCACCGTTGAAGGCGCAAAAGGGAACTCCGCGGCAGCCCTGAGCGCCTTGGCCAGCCTGTTGCGAAGGAGCACCAAGGGCGGTTAGTTCCAGGATACGCTGAACCACCAATACCGTCTCTTCCAGGCTCTCTCGTGCAATGCGGATTTCGGGAGGGTTGGGAACGATTCCCACGGCGCGATCCTTTCGAACTATGATGGCTGGTAGGTTCATCGTGCGGACACAGTCCCGAAGCGCTGACTCGGCGACATCCAGAAGCGCCGTGATTTCCGCCTCGGACCAGGCCGCCATGTCTGGGGTCAACCACTCTGGTCGCGGAACAGGCGCCAGCCGGTATGGTGAAGATGGCTCGTATTCGAAGAGATAGTTAGCCTCACCACCCATGATAACAATATTCTGCTTCTGTATAGGGTCAAGGTCTGTGGAGTTGGCAATGGCATCGAGTAAGCCATGGAGACGGCCATAGTACCGGTCTGCGGTGGTGTAGCCAGCAGCTGTCACAATGCCGATTTTGATGTTTTTGCGCAAGAGGTCTATGAAATACGTAAGCAATCTCGCTCATCATTATTCTTTACATATCCCTAAACAGGATGAAGAGGCAAAAGCAACGATTGATGCGTTAAAGGAAGAGAATGACATACCTAGCAGGCGTGGAATGATAGGGCTTGACGGTTCCAAGCTCTGTCCATCGTCGTACAGCGTGACATCACCATCAAAAGTGGCTAGCTGAAGAGCACCATTCGTCACAGCCATTATCTGAGCTGAGTTGAGAACCAGGCGCACATCGTTGAAAGAGGGGGCTACATATCGTCTTGAAGACATGTATCGCTTCCGGTCCTGGTATTTGAATGCTGCCTCCAGGGGCAGTCGTGTGAAGAAAGGACCTGCAGTTGGCACCAGCATTCCAAGCTTGGAAGGGAGCACGCGGTCCTGGTTTTGGCGGGCGACTATTTGATGTTATTGAATCAGTATGCGGGAACCAAACAATTAGAAAAAGAAAAGGATGAGAGGTCATAATACTAACTGTGATCGTCAATCATCAGCTCGACATCTCTCATAATCTCTGCGTAGCGTCTGTGGGCCTCCTCGGCCATCTTGGCCACGTTGGTATCATCGCCAAACACTCCCGTCGGCTGGGAGTAAAGCACAAATGGCACAGCCAAGAGACCCTTTATCCATTCTAGCACAATTCCAAGGCGATGTGTTAGTTTACTGAATTGACTCGAAAAAAAACTCCAGACTGGGCCCCCCAATTGTTTGCTATGACATGATCTCGCAATGTCAAAGCTCCGGTATCAAAACACCAGTACCCAGAGCCATTGTCATCTGAAAGCGACATACCGATGAACTGATCCCGTCTATGGGTCTTGAGGGCATCTAAAGATTCTATCAGTCTCTTCATGTCCCCTTCTCTATCCTCACATCCCCCCCTCCAGCTCTGTGTAACGGAAGGGCACTGAGGGGGTGGAGGGGAGATGAATTGGGCAGACTTACACTCAACACGGTACCGGGTCGTCATCGCTTAATCGATTCAATTCTTGCCAATTGGGCTCTATTTCGGGGCTGACAGCAGAATGAAAGAGAGTTGAAGGAAAGAGAGTAACAGTGGAAGCAGCAGAAGCAGAAGCAGAAGAGATGCAAAGATGAAGATGAAGATGAGTGACGGAAGGGAGCTCGACTGCACATGACATGTGGTGAGTCGTACAGACGGAAAGTTGGGTACCTATGATGCTCTGTGCTTTAGGTAATGGAATTGAGACCATGTGGCCAGCTTCTAGGCCTAAACCGGCCGCTGAGAGGGGCGTGGATGCGCTGTCGTGCCAATTAGAAACAGCCCTGAAGCTTATCCGAGCTTCTAGTGGCCTACAGTGGGGATGAGCCCGGTGAACAGTGGCTCTTGCGGTCGGAGCCCGCCGAAGCGGCCGCTGTTGATGGCTTATCAGTTGTTGATAACAGACCTCAACGACAACTGCAACTCAACACAATTGAAACCCTTCTCCTGGTTGTTGACGCGCTGCCTGTGAATATAAATACTAATTTGCACATACGATGCGCGATGCATACATCTGTGTACCTATCGAGCTACCTACTACATACTTGATTGTGCCCTCCTCTCTGTATAATCAGGCGCACATCAACACCGTCTGCCAATGCCTTATGTGCTCTTTCGAAATGGCCGCAAATCACCAGCCTGCGCCTGAGTCACGGAAAAAATGATAAATAAAAATAAATTCCCCATCCAAATAATCTTTCCTCTTGCGCTACTGCTCAAATCACAGCAGCCATGTTGCCTTCCTTCTGCAAGACTTACCTTTCATTACGCCGGGGGGGGGGGGTTTCGGCTGTTCTCCTTTCATTCCTCCGCCATCTTCAATAGTCCTCTCCCTCATCAGCCGCTTTTTGCATTGTCTAGAGTTCTTTTTTTCCTCGTTTGCCTCTGCTGCCGTTTTTCTTTTTTTTTTCTCTCTTTTTTTTTCTCTCTTCTTCTTTTTTTCATTTCCCACCTTCTCCCACTCTCGTATCAGTTCATGCCAGGGGAATATCATCAAGTTCATCTCCTCATAAACAGTAACGCTTGCTTGCCCGAGACACTGGGTTGTAATTGCATGAGTCCCCACAAAGCAGCATCCATACAAGATGTTCTTTCATCCAATGTTTCCCATCCTATGAATCACAAATCGCTCGCTTTCAGTTGGCACCGCCATTAGCGGCGGCATGCGGAGCAATCATCTCAGCCTGCTGTGCTTGGAGCTGCGCCTGGGCTACCTCTTCTGCCTTCACAATAATGTCCTGAATGAGGCCTTGCTCCTCACCAGAAAGGTGGCTGGCGAGGTTTGCGTAAAATTGGGGTTGGTCTTGTTGCATCTCTGTAAATGGGGCATTATTGGTTAGCAACAGGAAAAGGAGTGCATGCGCTAATGCATCATAGCCACAGGGGTGGCAGGTCGTGACGGTCTACTCACTTAGCAATGTTGCCCTGAAGAGCTGGTATGGCTCGATCTTGTCCAGCGGCGACTCGAGAAGAACGCTGTCTTCTCCGAGCTCCTCCTCGTCGTCGTCGTCAATCACGCGACTGAACTTTTGTGCCTGGATGGAAGCTTAGCGTCAGCCGGTACAGTACTCGGGAGGGGTTCTACTCGGGGTGGGGGTTGTAAACTAACCTCTTCGTTGAGGAACTCAAGATAGGCAGCGCTCTCATCCTTGGTCTCCGGAGACTCGTCGTCACCAGCAGAGCCAGCCTCCTCATCTCCGTTCCAAGCCACGTCTCTCTCATCCCACTCATCTTCGTCGACATAATCATAGCCAGCATCTAGAGTGAAGTCATCGCGCAGGGCATCCTCTCGATCTGGTTTCCAATGGTTAGCGTTGAGATATACAAATTGGAGCAAAAAAGGGGGGGATAAGAAAACATACTCCTCATGGCGCTAGGCAATGTTCGGAAGAGTTCCGTGATGCCCTGGAGCAGCCGTGGCCATCCGACAGAGATGCTGGCTGGAACTTGATCATGGTTGAGGCCGAGAAGGGCGGAAATGGCCACAATGCAGAGCTTCTTATCATGAACCCTGCTGAAGGACGACATGCTGCCAAACCATAGGCTGAAAAACCTATTCGTCCAGCCGTTGGTCTCCAGAACCTGCAGGGTGAGCATGGGGTTGTAGTGCACAGCGTTGATAACCATTTCCATCAGATGAATCTTGTAGCTCTTCACCTTGACCTCTTGGCCAGCCAGGATGTTCATAGCCATGTTGATGAAACCCTCGACACAGCTGTCGATGCTGCCCCGAAGGCTTAGCATCATAGCCTCAGCCAACTTGCAGGCGCAAATTCGCTCAACGCCTCCCTCTACGGTGTCACTGAACATGTCGGCTACCATGGAATAGAGAGCCTGGACGTATTCCGGGTTCTGGACCAGGGCAGGCGCGCCGTACTGGACAAAGTTGTCCAATGCGGGGAGCATATCCTCGAGATAGTATTCAGCTCCAGCCTTGAAGGTGGTATGGATGAGCTCAAATGCCTTCCACATATTGGGAGAGATGCCCTTGGCGGCAAAGGTGCAGCTGTCAATGATTTCAAATGCTTCGTTGTAGAGGTCGTACAGCTTGTTCTCCAGTGTTATTTGAATCACAGGCATAAGAACCGCTTCAATGTGAAGGAGAACATCTGGGGTGCTTTCCAGCGTAAGGATAAGAGTCCCAATGGTCTGCAGCACACCAAGAGCAGTTATGCTCTTATCGTCATAATCATTGTACAGTTCACCATCATCCCCAGCCTTGCTCTCCTTCTCAAGCAGCTCGCGCACAATGCGAAGATAGGTATCGCGAAGTTGCTCGCACAAGGCGACGGCGAAGGGAGTGAGCTCAGTAGCGAATACCTCGACGAAATCTTCCATAACGTTAGCCAAGGCATCGATATCGGCTTCGTTGGCCAGCTTCAGCAGCTGTTGCATAATGGTCGGAATGCTCTGCTGCATGCTTGTTCGGATAACTTCGTGTCGAATCAATGGCTGCAGCGCTAGGGCAGCAGTGACACGAACGGGGAGTGCCGGGTCTGCCATGCAGTCCAGAATATTGCGGTAGATGGTGAGCAGGTTGTTTTGGTCCTGGAAGTTGAGCTGTTCAAACTTCTCGATGGTATCGCAAGCTCGGGCTCGGAGGTAGCCCAAGGGGCTAGTGAAGTCTGGAAAGACATATCGGACGAGGAAATATTCGACCTGGTCGGCAATAGGACTCTTCTTTCCGAGAATGACGGGAGCCAGGGTTCCAATCATGCGGAGAGCACCCTCCTTTGCAATGTGGTTCTTCTTGTCATCGGCAGATTGCTCATACTCGTTAACGACAGCGTTGACGAATTTGAGAATCTCGAAGACTTCCTTTCGGCGGTTCTTTGTAAGGTTGACCAGGAAATTTGTCGCCGCAACATCGGGGGCGGACGCCTCCTCAAAGTAGTTCAGTTTTCGGTGAAGGTATTCCTCTGGCTCCTCTTCGAATTGCTCGACGTCTTCCGGCGACAAGCAGAGAACCGGGAATACGAAGTGCGTAACGAGGTTAGTCAGGTGCGGCTTCAAGTGCACCCACATCTCCTTAGGCCGTACCGTCTCATCGAGGAACACTAGGATGTAGGACAGACAAGGTCGGCTAAGCCAAGAGGTCTTGGCTACCCATTTCTCGATTTCCTGAAGATAATGCTTCAAGATTTCAGGGGCGATAGTGTTGGTGAAGTTTTTCGCGAACTGAACAGCTCCATCTTGTTTGCCTGGGCTCGTAGGGTTTCCGTGTCTAGAAACGTAGCTGTCAGCCTGATTGTTCGCATATTTGCTTCGCCCCTCCATTACCAAGTGGAGAGATCAAAGACAAGGGTTTTGGTGAGCCTCAAATACCTAATGAAAAGACGGTTCAGGTTGAAATAAGCCCACTTCTTGGCCTTCCACCAGTGATGTTTCTCTCGGTCGGTAACATCGCTCATCACAACGGAGGCAGGAAGAGCCTTTGAAACGGTTTGAAGGAAGACGGTGCACCAAGCGATGTTGACCTGGTCTTGTCGCAAGTACGGCGAGAGCTCGAGCTAGACGTGCAAGGATATTGTCAGCTCCGGAACTTGGGTTTGAACATGAGTCCACTCTCCAGGAATGGGGATGGAGGAGAGAGAGAGCAGACAGGGGTATTCATACCCAGGTGGCATGTTTGTACGCCTTGAGAGCCAGGTGCAGCATCTCGCTAGCCTCGTCGCTTTCTTGGTTCACCAGCTCATTGCAGATGGCCAAGAGTCGCGGGAAACTGGCTTCAACAATGTTGTCAAAGTGCTGTCGGTCTTGGCTCTCGTTGGACTTGTATCGGAAAGCACGACATATGGCGAGGAGACACTGCAAACCAGCCAGCGCAGAGTTCGCATTATTGGTGTTCAACAGCTCCAGGGTGAATTCCAGGAATCGCGGCCACCGGCTAGGGAAATCACACTGCAAAATGCGCTGCAGAACGGGAATAAGCTGCTGGCGGACGAGCCCCTCGGAGGAAGCCAAGATGGGCACCAAACGGTCTCGGATCCGGACTTTTTCATCTTCGGCTATTGAGCTTTCGGAGGGAATACCTTCGGCTTGGTACCAAGAGCGGTTTACTCGGTTCTTGATGTAGATGACGGCTGAAGAGACAATTGTTAGTCCTCAGTTTTACTTTCGTCTCCTTATGTTTTCCCCTGTCTCTTCTTCTCTTCTCTTCGACTCGCTGTGGTATCTCGTCTTCGGAAAGGGAACAAAGGAGGGGCAGCGACGACGTACTGGCAAGGCGGACACTGGCGTCCTGCTCTGCTTCCAAGACATCGAGCAGGCAGATCAGGAAACCCGCATGATCCTCGACCTAAAGGCAGCGAAACAGAAAAGCGCATTAGCATCAGAGACCCAACTGGAGCGTAAAAGTGACAAAAAAATCTTTGTGCCTATTCCGCGAGCATTTGAATGAGGGCAGCCTCTCCCCCTCGCTGCTTTCTTCCTTTTTTTTTTTTCCGCCGCTGTATTCACGCTTCGGATGGCGGGCGGTGGCAGTGGAGGGACACAAAAGATGGTTCTGGAAAACTCACCTGCTTCAGTTGCAGCTCAGCACGTCGCCTGCTGTCGGCGTTTGTGTCCAAGCTGGCCGCCAGCAAGGCCCTGACAGTTGCAAATTCCATATTTGGGGGTATAAAGAGGAGCGGACGACAACACAGAGGGGTGTTGTTGTCGTTGGCGCGGAGGAGAGTAGAAGAAAGGCGGGCTCAGCAGAACAACTTTTGGTGTTAGGTTGGGAGGACCCGATGGCGGGGCATCTATCCAGCACCAGCTGCCCACCCAATAGTAAAAATGAAAATGCAAAAAAAAAAAAATTTAGATCAGAAATAACCGTTGTGGCGATCCGCAGCGACGATGACGAGCAACGATCTGGAATATCGGTTTTCAAACACACACAAGCCGACTGAGGCTGGCGCAACGAGACGGGAGAAAGATTTTGGCCAGGCAGAAAGTGGCGGCACAAAGCGGTGATGAAAGATTGTTTGTTGAGCCTTTTCACAATGACGGGAATTTAGCACCGTGCCACAGGTATTAGGTACGAAGCAGCAGCAGGCGGCCGGAACGTTTTTTTCAGAGCCCTTGAGGCGATTGGGCGTGATAGATGCAGCCGGTTAGGGGGCTAACAGGCGCTAAAAAAAAATTGAAGTTCAGGGTCGACAGTGCCAGGCTTGCCAGGATAGACCGAGGACTACCAAACTGCGAGGATTGGGATTGATGCCGATGAGTTGGAGACGACATCTCCGTCCTCTCTTGTCGCTAACCAGAGCTTTCTTTTTGCTTCTATTCACACCTCAGTACCCCCTATCAGGTACAGCTATCAAGGTACTGCATGTAAGCACAGTACGGTATTTGGTACAGCTATTCGCAGGTTACGGCGTACGGAGTACAGAGTACGGATACAATGACCCGTCTCTGCAAATTTCCAGTATGACTCTCATCTGGCACCTGTTTTACTAGCCTTACATCTTTGTGGATCTTCCTTACGGCAAATGCAATGCCAAAAAAAAAAAAAGGCGTTTTGTATTCCATCAAATCTTCTTGCTCCCTTGCCCTGCATTTCGGGTGCTCAGGTACTGGCCTCCCAGGCTGACACCCCGTACCCCGTACCTGAATAAACGCTGGCGGTCATTACGACGCGCAGTGTACCGGCTACTAGTGACGTAGGGCTGCGCATGTACATCCAAACGACTGAAAGCAAGATATCGCCCTTCGTTATCACTACCCAGAGCCTAACAAGGGTTATCAGCAGGGTCTAGTCCCCAATTAGCGATGACAGGGGATATTTTGGCCCAATGAGAGCAAGCTGGCAAAATGCCGGTGAAATTGCTGGCCGCAGCTCTTTGTAGCTTATTGGCGCACTTTGGCGAGAACTTCGTCTGAAGCTGTAAGAGGCAGGAACAGCCGGATGATCGCAGTGTCGGTTAAGAGGTCACCGCTTCGACTTGCCATTCTTTTAGTATCTTAGTAGTAGCTGCCTGCTGGGAATTCATCACGTAGCTCCGTCAAACGAGGCTCTCCCATCTTCCTCCTCTTTTGAGCCTTTTTCGTGCATCTTCATCACGTTTCTGGCGTTGCTTCAACATGTCCTATGGCCTTGTTATCCGTTGCTATGGGCCCTTTTTTCCTGTGCACTTCTGCAGTGGAACATAATCTCGACCTGCCGATGCCGCAGCAACGTGCATGAATATCCAAACGCGCATCTCTGATCTCGTTTCAAGCAAACAAAGCTCCAAATGTACAAATGCCGTGTCCGTCAAGTTGCCTTCGTTGTCGTTGAGGAGCGTTGTCGCGAGACAATATGATCTGAATTCGACAAGCTTCACTCAACTCCGTGATTTCCCAACCCGCAATCAACGCGAATGTCAACTCTTCACCGCCCGTATGCCTTACGCGATCCACTGTGTGGTTTTCTAAATAGTCTGTCATGCCACAGCTACTTACCTAGGTAAGATAGGAACCTGATGGTACCAGAATGCGCTCTAGGTTAAGAATGAATGGTCCCTCCATTGCTTGCATGATGACACGAAGCGTAATCTCTTACTAACCAACAGGAATAGATGATCCGCGCAGTTGTTATCAGTCTATTACCGACGCGATATTTTGGTCCAGGGACATCTGCCTAACGACTGGCACTGGGCATGTCGACAACTGTGGGTGTGAGTGGCACTATCACTGGTATATACCTTGACAGCTCCATGTGAAATGTTGCCCTCCGGGATGAGACAGGAACGTATCTCATCGAACCGTTTGAACCATTACCAGTACCTCTTTGTTGCGAGAAAACCAACCTCCGTTGGCATAACTAGAGGCAACAGTTCTACTCTGCGAAATACATCCTGGGCTCGCCGGATCATATCAACCCAACCAAACTCACCCGCACGACACATCGCATTTGGTTTCGTGAAGTGTTCAAATTACAGCATCACACAGATCACTTCTTTTGTCGAACTTAGCTGGAGTTAGGACTGAGCCTATCGCCAAAAACGATGTCACTGTCTGTTTTGTCCATTTCCGTATCTCCTCAAATAATTTTCGTGATGATAGTGAATCCCAACAACGACAAGTCCACAGGCGATTGCAAAGCAAGCAAGGAAATTGCACACATCTCAAAGCGCTCCGGCGCTTGAAGGATCAAATGGATATGGCTAACAGTGAATATAGGAGACCCAGCACCGGCAAACAATCTACTTCCTATGATCCTCGCCGAGTACACTGCTTGATCAATTTACGCTTATATGAGGCTCGAAAGCTTGGACGGTTCAATCGGCTCGGAGGCACCATGGGAGTCCGGGCATGGAACCAAGGGGGGAAAACAACTACATTCCGGCGTTCATTAATCTCGATCAGAGGTTGGTAAGTGCTTCTTCTTGCGCTTAGCATGCAAAGAGTTCCCGCACTGTCACTCCTCGGGGTGATATATTCCCAGACGGCTCCATGTGGTCATTTTTTCAAGGCGAAACAAGCAGCAGTCGAAAACGAAGCAACGGAACGAAACAAAAAAAAGAGAAGAGTGGCAATGATGATCCTTTCAACAGGTTATGGCTAATATATACAAACCATGAGGCTCACCTTGCTGCCCAGGAGTCCGGCTTTGCTACTCTATTAAATGGCATGATCGAGACAACCAGCTTTGGCTGAGAATGCTCAGCGATCGCCAAGGAAACCGAGTCCAGACAAACACAAATAACTCCGCCTATGGCCAGTCCGGGGCAGCAAGGTTTCAAGACAGTCCACCACCCAAGAAGCATTCGTAGTTCCGCTTCTCTTTTCCCACCTTGCGCCAGGAGCGAGTGCTATCAAACATATGCAGGCGTTATTCATCCAAGGCTATCATTGTAGCCGGCAACAAGCTCAGTATTTGACCCATCCCACACAAAAAACAAATGCATTTTGTCAAAAAGCCTCGGAAAAAAAAACATGACTTGTGAAGTGCAAATTCAGGGAGTCCGAAATAAAGAAAAGAGAAGATGTGAAGATGGCGCGAAAAAAAAACATCAAACTTGGCGCATCTCCTGGTAATTATCGGTCCAAGGTCCGGAAAGGCTGAGAGAGAAAGAGAGAGAAAAGAAAAGAAAGGCCATCCAGTCTAGAATATTGTCCTGTGGTCTTCGATCTTCTTCTTTGCAAAATCCATGAGAGCCCTACCGGTGCCTGCCTGGGAGTTTTATCTAAATGATAGAAAAGGGGCGAGTAAGACATTCAAATCCATGGGGGCCGGGTTGAGCTCTGACGATAGAATTATATCAGAAGAATCAGCCCACGCCTCGCAGGGGCGTGTCACCTCAAGGATTTCCCTCTCCCTTATCGGCGAGGTGGTGGTGGTCGGTGGTTCCTGTCGCCGCCTTCCCGGTCACTCAAACGAGTACTTGATTCCCGAGGTGGTGTCTGTGTTTCTGCGGGGGGAACGGAAGTGCGAGTTGGAGGAGGGGTTTCATCATATGCATGTCCCTGTGAGGCATACCCTTGTGGCTGCTGAGAGGTTTGGCCTGCTGGGGAAGCTACAAAATCAGACGAGCGCATTCAAATTGGATGTAGGCTTGGGGTGGTTTTTGTTGGGAGACGCACCTCGGCCGAAGAAGGGGTCCTGGGGCTGCGTAGCATAGACTGGAGCACCCGAAGGAGCCTGGTTAGGATATGGGTAGGCTGGGGCGGGATATCCTGGCTGGACAGGCTGGGTTGAGGCGTATACGGGTTGTTGAGGTGCTGGGACAGACGCTCCAGGGTGGCCACCGGCATAGGGATCATTGGGATAGTTCCTGGGAGGCATGTTGGCTCCAGTTGAAACATACGGGCCATCCGGATTCTGGTATCCCTGGTTCATCATAGGGCCGCCTTGAGGATTTCCGACGTATCTGGCGTCAGAGGGTCCAGGGGATTGCTGAGGCTGCTGAAAGCCGGCGTTGCCGTTGCCGCCGTACGCACCGCCACTGGGAGGAGCGTAGCCCTGCTGCTGCTGTTGAGGCTGATAGGGACCGGAGGCACCATTATATCCTTGGGCGCCAGTTCCTGGATACCTTGGGGCGTCATAAAGACCATCACGAGGAGGATAGGAATCATCTCGGAAAGGTGGTTCAGTTGGGCCATGGTGCTGCCGAGACTGGTGCGTCTCAGAGTAGCGGTATTGGACTGTAGGCGAGTTAGATCTCGGTCTGGGGGCACCGTAAGTGGCATCTCTCGAGGCGATGATACCTCCGCTGCTGTTGCGCGCGGTCTGCGCGCGGCGTTCCCTATCCCATCGGGCCGAGTCGGCCTTGAGATCCTCGATCATGGCCTGCGAATTAGGGGGTATCAAGTTTAGTAACGGGGCCCGGAAACAAAAGTCGTCGATATGGCCGAGAGGGGAGCGGCAAAAAGAGAGATGCAAAAACTCACGGTCGTCAGGTTACGATAAGCCGTAATATAATAACCTTGGACGGGTTGACCAGTCTGTGGGTTCTGAAGGAGGAACAATCGTTAGCGACCAGTCAAGTCGAGATGCGTTGCTATTGCTCGAGTTGACCGTTGTCAGAGTCGGCGTTGCTGAAAGTGGCATACCTCATAATGGCCAGGTCGCACCAAAGCATCATTGCCCAGGTAGCGGCAAATATCAGCAGAGATGACTTCACGATCGATGCCATCACGGGGCACGAAATACTCGTTCATGCGAGTCGTTGGTCGCGACATGATGGGCAATAGTCAACGGAACTTGATTTGGGAAAGCAACGGAATACAAAGGCAATGCAACGAGAGACGCCAGAGAGAGAGAGAGACGGAGAGAGGAGGGAGGAAGGGAGGAAGAGGGAAAGAGAAAAGAGGGAACCTCAAGGCAGAACTGGCTGCTAAATGAAGAGGCGGGCAAGCAGCAAATCCAAAAACGACAGATGGAGGAATGGAAGCCGCAGAGAAAGTGTGGGCAAGGGGCAGGCTGCAGCCAAGCAGAAAGAGTCGTATTGCCGTGAGAGAAGAGGAGAGAAATGGAAAAAAGCGACAGCACCAGCTCGACTGGACTTGAAGAGAAAAAAGGCGGATGATCTGGTGTGAATGGTGGGGTGGGGCAATGAGGAGCATCGAGACACTGGTGACCTCCCAAAATGCTGCCGACTGTTGCAAGGTCTTCGTTGGCTGCAGAGCTTGGCTCCAGATCCGCTGGCCCTTTTTTTTTTTTCTCTTTCTACACCCCTGCTTCCCTGCTTGCTGCACTCCTGCTTGTCTGCACTCCAGCACCCTGTTCAGTCAGACCGTTTCAGTGGCTGTGGCGACAGCAAATGCGACCACCGCAGCAGTGCAGCGCAGGTGCAGTGCTGATTGATTTGACGAGCAGTGGATGGTGGATGGCGGATTGCGATGGGCTGCCTGGATGGACTGGACTGGGCTGGCCTGACCTGACCTGACCTGTGGCCACCTCCGTGAGATGGGGGGGCAATTGGATGGATTGGATGGGTTGACAGACAAGAGGATAGGACAGGATATTGAGGTGGAATGGAGATGGAGCTGCCTGCTGACTGGAGAGAGTCACAGCAAGGCAAATGCACGGAGTACAGGACAGCACGCACGACGCAACGCAACGCCTCCTCACGACACTCTGCTTTGCTCTGCTCTGGTGTATTTCCTCGGCACCAGCTACTGGTACATAGGTCTACTACGGCTTCGATCTGTTTCTCACGCTTCCGGGATACCACCGGTAGGTGTTAGGCTCGCCTGAATCCCCTAATAAGCCTAAAAGGCAGGGCAGTCTTCATCAAATTCCAGGCCTCTCTCTACCTTGTTATTGCGATGACTACTTTGCTGCTACTGGCAGTAGCGGCACAGCTAAAGGGCAACCTACGGAGTGGAAAGGGACCTTGCTTAAGTGGTGCCTATCCGAGTCCACCAGAGCAAGCTTGGGACCTATTGGCGGCTTGTCAAGGTGATTTGATGGAGCCGAGAATGCGCCAGTCCCGAGCCCAAACATCGCCTCGCTTCGCCTCGCCCGGACCGTCGACGTTGGGCTTCGCTGCACGTCGCTGCAACGGGGATGGAGGGCGCGTCAAACGCCGTTGAATGGCCTGACGGGCCTGGGAATGGGCCGCCTATTGGAGCTTGTGTTTGGGCGAAGCGGTTTCTGACACCGAAATGCTGATATGTACTCCGTCGTACCGGTTCAGGTACTCCGTACTTTAGCACATGCTATCCGCTGTGAGATATGCAGTCGTGCATTTATTTTCTTTTCCTTTTTTCATTTTATTTTATCTTCTTCATTTTTTCTCTCTTCTTTTTTTTTTCTTTTTTTCTTCATCTGCCGCCTCTGCCTCCGTACCCACAGTGTCTCACTTTTTTGTCGGGACGTTTTTTTTTGTCTCTCATGTCTTCCCTTCCAGGCTCTCTTCCTGCTCTTTTCCCTTTTCGGTGATTTCCCGATACCGACTAGCAGAAATGACTAACAACCGACGGCAAGGCTCGCCTTTCTTTTCTCGCGCCAACGTCAACCCTAGCCGATGGTTCCTGATGCATGAGCTACGTTATCTCTGCTTGTGCTTGTCTTGAGCTCTATCGTCTCGGACCTTATTCTCTCGCAATGTAGCTTCGTGCTTGTTGATTCGCCATCTGCAGAGAGTCACGTTGCAGTGCGTAAGAGCAGTTCCTATCGAAACGCTCTGCGATATTACGTGCGTGACTGCGTGTCTGCAAGCCTGCGTCCGTATGTGCATGTGAGTACCTCGCATGCCGTATGAAGATGCGTATATAATTAGACCGTGTTGGAAAGGGTCAGATTGCAGCTCGACACGGATTGGCAGGGCGACCTGTTCCTACAGCAGACGGAGCCTTTTTTTTGTTTTTGTTTTTATCTCGGACAGTCATCGCGCGCTGCAGACAAGATCGAGCGGGGATATTGACCCCGTAGATGCCATTGGTGGTGATGACACCATGCGGTTATCTTTTTGCCTCGGTGCCCGAGTTGGAGCTGTGGCGAACGAGGTGTCCAATGTATGGGTTCAGCTGATCCCTAGGAGCAGAAGCCGATGCTCTAAGAGAACAGAAAACAAATCAATGCATGCCTTCTCGCCACTCTTACCTTTTAGTCACGGCAGCGACCTCATTATGAGTGATCTTACGATCAGGCAGATATCCCTTGGATCGAACAAAAGCAGGTTTAAGAGCCGGACAGTGTGCAGAGAGATCAAGGAGCAAGAGCAGACACCCGACATTTCTCTCGTCCCGATTAGGAATGAGATGCACCACACGCAGCTTTTCGTTTGAGAAAGCCTTCCATTGGATTACGTGGAAGAGCATTCATTCGATGTCTATCTTGACTTTGCCTGCCAACCAGCTTCGCTTAGAAATTTAGCGCTCTCCGTTGCAAATACGCTAGTTCCGACTGCAGGCTAAAACTCTCCCTGAATCTATGAAGGCGTGGTGGCTGCCTTCATTCAGCTTCGAGATTTGAATGAGCGAGTGTATGAGCCATTATGTCGGCTCTAACCGCGGTACATCGTACATGCTCCGGCGATTCACGAGACACTCGACTGTACTAAGCTAAAAGGCATACGGAGTACTGGTATCAATTATTACCTCAGCCAGATGAGGGGCGCAAAGGTCTGCCTGCTGGCCTAGTCGGGTATCAATGCTTATGGTTAATTGGAGCCCAACTGTCGACAACAGGTTAATGCACTAGCGTCACCAGTCCACTCGAGCCAATCGTTGGCATCATCACACATCATTGCCACTGATGCTATTGGGACATTGTTATGCGATATTGGAATGTGTTTTTCGATATTGTGACTGCGTGATGCAGCCGTCTCTACCGGCCCGGCAACCGTCGCTCCCCACCTTTTCCTATGCTGCTGTCATCATCCTTTGCACTGTGCCGCTTGTACTCTGTATTACGGAGTATGAAGAGTATGTGTGAGGGGAAGCACTGATGACTGAGCTCAAAGGAGCTCACTAGGGATCGTGTCTGCCCGAAAGAGTAGGAGAACAGGCGACCACACACGGCAAATCCCCATCAATGGAGGCAATGGGAAAGGAAAAATGAGGCTGAAAGATGCTTCATCAGCATCCAACGCACACCTCCGTTTGCTCACTCCTGCTTGAGGCATCCAGCCTAATTCAGCCGAACTAGTATGATTACTCGCCGTGATGCGCACCAATATGTGATCGATAAACATGGAGCCTGAGTATTGTCAAGCTTTGATAAAGATGGTGCGGAGCTCAAGGCAAGCGGAGCAGTGCCTGAATATCCAAGGCCAGCGGATGAACGATGAAAGCCAGGCTGCAGTGGAGCGGTTTTTCTCTTTCGGCATCGTGACTTGTTGATCATGCGTGAAAACCGGTATAGTTCGATCAGCGTCAGGACGGCCCCTTGAGCCCGAAAACTCTGCCTAAGAAAATTTTCGTGACGCGGATGAAGCTCCAAGGCTTCGTCTGCCAACTACGTGTTTTTCACCCAAACGTGAGCTTACTTTGCCCTTGTTCAAGCTTTGAGCCTCCCCGCCCACGTTTAGAAGCAAGGCCAGACCCTTTTGGTGGATGGCCTCGTGAAGCGGCTGGCTGCCCAGCAAATGTGGGCTTGACACGTTCACCGTCCTGAATGTCCTTGGCGAAATGCCAATCTTGATGGCTTTGAAATGACATGTCGTCGGCGAAGCTAGCTTTACATCTGAGGCAGGATAGGCCTGTGAAATGGGCTGAATTGCCTGTCTCCGTTGTCTCGTGACTTGATATCTCCGGGTTATTCTTTTCTTGATCGAGTTGGGGAAAGCTGGCGCCATTAGGCTGTAGCTGGTCAGCGTTGAGGCTCTCCTTCACATTAAGGGGGTCTTGGTCACCCGCAGGTCTCTTATGAAAAAAACGGTGGATGCTAGGTTTATCAAGCCGTGGCTTCTTGCTCTGTTGCTCCGTAGTCGAGCTTTCAGGTACGGTATCGAAGGGACGCAGTGGAGGCGTTTCATCCCTCTTCTTGAAAAAGGCACCAATGCCCATGTTGTTTTTGACGCCTTCCTCGAACCCGCCAACACTCAGGCTCAAGTTGGCACAGGGCCAGACGTCTCCTTCGGCAATGATTTGGTGGAGCAGCTCTTTAGCAAGGGTGAAGAGGGCTTGTTCATCTAAAGCCTTGCCTGATGAGATCGAGCTCGACTTGCTTCGCGTTTGTCCAGCGTGGCGATGGTGAAGATTAATTGTGCGCGGCCACCGCTTGTACTCCAGTATGCCTTCTTCAACCAGGCGGGAATAGATATCGCCCGCAAAAATCCGGAGCCACTTGATCGCTTGTTCGGGAGTCTTGATCGAGGGCCGGAATGACTTGGCTGAGAGCATAGATTTGATTTGAGTCCGCGAGTTTATTTCACTGTGGTCGATTCCCCTGATGGTGTTGTAGAGCCAAACGGCAGTTTCTTCGCCGAGTCTCGCCTTGAACTGGTCCAACGGGATATCGCGCAGCTCCTTGACGCTCTCTGTGCCGAACGTAGAAACAACTTGATCTCCTAGCTTGCCACCGAGGTTCCGCATCTTGGTGACTTTGATGGCAGTTAGAAATGGCAGCACCGCTCGACTGCGTACAACTGTCTGAGCATTGGGCTTCTTGAAAGCTGAGCCTAGCTTGCTGACCAGCTTGTTACTCGCGATACCTGCAGAACAGGTATATCCCAGCTTCCCACGTATTTGTGCGCGAACACCGCGAACTATCTCAGAGCCCATCAGTATAACTATGTCATCCCAGTCTGGATCGAGAGCTTCCTGGTCCTCCTCAAGAACAACAAGGTTGTCATCCCGCCAGTCGAGGGCAGCAGCAGACGGGAAAGGGAGACTTTCAGCTGCATCACCGGATGGAGGAGGATTTGAAAGCTCTGGAAAGCGGCGCAGCAGTTCCGAGTGAATGTGAGCTGAGAGGTCCAGGAAGACTTCATCGATGCTTGCCTTTTCAACCTTTTGGAGGTCCTTTGGCAGGGACTCTTTGATGAGTGCGAGAATTTTCCTCGATTGCAGGCGATAGGGATCTAGAGACACTTTGTCGGTAGCAATATTTGCAGCTGCATCATCTCGATACGCCCACTTGTCATCGCCTTCTCGCCAGGTGGCGACGTGTTGCGCAATCAATTCCGGACACAGTTTCTTGGCCTCGGTGATGTTGCAGTGGCGTCCAATCTCCCATTTCCTTGCGGGATAGTTGACAGCAATGAGACCTTGCCTGGGGTGCAACAGCCGGTTAGTCTCAGTCACTTCTCAGATACTTCTTCACGTGCTTAATTAGTCGAGGACATCTTACCACTGCTGCACGGCGAGGGGCTTATCTTCCGGGACACCGAGTCTAATCATCTCACACTGTGCATAGAATGCGTCGAGATCTATGTGAGCAACAACGCGCAGAGGAGTGGATGTGCTATAAGTCGCCATCTGGGCAAGCTGCCGATATGTGAAGCGTGAACGGCGGGCATCGCGCAGCGGCGAAGATGCGCCGCTGCTGGGCGATGGCGAAGACATGGGGCAACGACCAAGAGAGTGGTGATACTGATGACTGATGAGATGAATTCATTGAAGTGTAAAAATGAGCTGAGATGTATCGACACGTGAATGGTGGTGGTTTTGGTCCATCTCATACGCGATGTCAAAGTCGGAGTTTCCCTTGATCGGTACTACGGAGCGACCCACATTAAAGGCTGTTATGCAAGACATCTCATCTGCCTAAGCTCGGCACCACTTACGGGGTACACTGGAACAGAGCAGAGCTGGATTTAGATACTCTGCTGGTATCCATCATCAAATGCGCAAAACACTCTGTCAATCAACTTATTCGGCGCTGGATTTGTGAGATTTTATCCACCGGAAGAGCGATTTCGGAGATGAATCCTGTCAACAACACGAGTTACACAAAAGCCACACCATCGTTCCCGTCTTTGGCTTCTCCATCACCTCATGATGTTGCATGACCAAGCAGAAAATAGTTGTATTTCAAAAAAAATTCGACCATCAATAATCCTCATCAGAAGCAGCGGATGACGAATCTTTGGCCTTTATCTGCGTCGTCTCGTCATAGCCTTCAAGTTCATGCACCGCAGTGGCGAGCTGCTCCCTCAACTCTTCAGCTTCATTCTCCTTGGCAGCAACATTATCTTGCACCTCCGCTCTAAGACACAGCCTCTTCTCATATGTGATGATTTGCCTGTCGATTTCCAACCGCTGGTTCCTTAGTGCTTCGATCTGCTCATGCACAATTTGAAGTTGTTCCTCGGTCCTCTCGATGGCTCTTACGAGCTGTTCTCGGGGCGTAGTCTCGACACGGAGGTGCATCATGCGTTCGTATGTGACTTCAAGACCTTTGGACGATTTACTCTATCTCAGATTCGACCTTGCTCAGCCCTCCAGGTTAGCCATAACCGTTGTACACATCTGAGTCGATTGAACTCACAAGTGGATAACCTTGTGCCAATCTAGAGCAAACTCAGGCCAAGAACAGGCTGCCAAACATCAGTGTTCCTTCGAATAACCGTCTGTTTCCGCCCCCAAACTCTTGGGTACACAAGGATCGTCTGGATCGTCTTTGTGGGAACCTAATCCAGACAGGAAGGTGGCTACGTTTTGGGGGCTCTTCTCTTTATTTGGCGGATGTAGAGAGAGGTGTACTCGTACTCGCTCTCTACCCCCTTGCCGAAATGTCAATAAGAGAATCACTATCCGACTCACACGTCTCACGCCTCGCCAGATTGCCCCCTCGGGATTCTAGATGGTTAATTGGCTGATGGTGACGCGAAAAAAAAAGAAACGCCAAGTTTGTATTCGCTGTTAAGGGCATAGCGTCATGAAGAGGTGTCCGACACATTCTCGCAGATGCGATTATAACTGCTAGTACTTTGTGTCAACTATCGTATCGTACAGTGAAAGAGTCGACCCTTCCCTTGCCATGGCGTGCATGCACGATGGACAGGGATGATGGGGAGGAAGGACGAATCAGAGAAGAGCCGTTACAGCAATGCATGAGAGACACATTACAGTAGCGAGCCCGGCGCGGCGATGAGGCGATATCATGAAAGTGCCTTGTCCACGTTGAACCGTCATTGGCTCTGCATACGATACCTACCGAAGGGCGGCGTTTAGTCTCTTCCTCCCTGGATTGAAATACTAGGAGTCTCAGTGGCCCAGGAGGGAGAACGTTGGAAGCTATCCTCAACGGTTTGGGCATCGTGAATTGAATGGGGCCAATAGGGCTGAACTGGCCAGGTGCAAATCGCACTTCTTCAATTTCTAAGAACAGAACGTCACAATTATCCGTGCCTCCAGACCCGAACCCGAATACGCATGTGCTCGTATGTAGGTTGGTAGTAGCAGCATGCACGAGGAATGTGTTCGCTTCTCTATGGAGGAAGCATGACCAGCGTTGGAGACTGACCGCCCGTAAAGAGATACCAAGGAATTATTTTTGCTATCAAGCATGCATCGCTGTTGGCTGCATCGCTTCACCGGTTTACAGTGTTTCATGCTCTGCATACGAACCTTTCTTTACATGCGTTTTCCCATCCAGCCCAGCCAATTAGATATGTAGTGAAAAAAAAAAAAAAAAAAAAAAAAAAAAAAAAAAAAGAAATACCCGCGATGCCCTTGCCTGAATATGTTCATAAATTATGTACATGTATGTGTACGAAAGAGGGACAATTTGCACAAAAGGGCCCCATGTCTATGCCCGTCATAATACAGTAATAACACCAATGTGAGAAAACAAGAAAAAACAGAAAGGAACAGAAAAGAGACAGAGAGAGAGAGGCAAAATGTGTCTGCTAAAAAGCCAATCTAAAACAGCGCCCAAGGAAAGATACAAGACAAAATAGAAACAGTAGTCCGGGGAGGTGATGGTAGTGTAGAGTAGTATGAGAATGAGTGGTGAAGAGTTATTAGTCGGTCAATCAATCAGTCAAGCAATTAAACAATCAATCGCTGGCCCGCCGACCGCCTCTCTCCTGTAATTCGATGCCATGCCCGCCGCGTGAAGAGGCTTCGAGCTCGGGAATTCCGTAGCGCTTTCTTAGTTTTGAGATGAGAGGACCAAATCTGTAGTCACTCTCCATGCTCTCATGATTACAGCATGGCGAATGTCGGATAGGAAGCATCCACTCGATGAAGTTGTCTCCCATGACGGACTTCCAATTTTCCACGGCTCCCAGATCCCAGGGGTTTTCCCGTGCCTTCGTGCGGAGAATGGCAAACTTGCGCTCCGCCAGCTGATCTCTAGCAGAGATGGGTCCATGACTATTATGCGGCTGCTGGACTTCAGATCCCGGCCGCCGCGGTGGTCCACGAAGAGGGTATACAATGATGGGATATTTGTCCGAGGGCGGGGTGGACTGGGGGATGCGGACAGCCAGGGTGATTGTATGTGATCTCTTAAGCATATCGACATTGGTAGTGTTTGCGAGAATGTAGCGAAACGAAGTGAGCGCCATGCCAAAGGTAAAAGTGCCGAAGACGCAGGATAAAACGATTGCTGCGAGGGCCCATCCATCAAGGGGGTCTCCGTCTTTGTGGTGTTGTTGGAAGGAATATGCACTGACGGCGAGGCCTACGGCGCAAAATAGGCCGCAGTAGAAGCAAAATTGCGTAAAGAAGTTGAAGGCTACATTTCCCACAAAGGACAGGATGTTGTTAGCTCTCCAGATTCTCTCACTCATGGCCATGCATACAGAACAGGGACTTGTTGCTGTTCAAAGGGAGATGTATATATCACTTACAAGTCTCAGAGACCATGCCACCAACCCAGGGGCAGAAATGGTCCATCTTCCTGACGCAGCGGCCTAGGTCGCTCGAGTGATGTGAACGGTCTGGCTTCCACTGCTGGCACTCTGAGCACCACTTAGGACGGCCATCGACCTCGCATACAAAGACATCCTTGCTGTAGAAGGCCTCGAGGCCGGGACTGTCCGGGTTTGGGTCCGGAGGTACATATGCCCTCTCCTCGACGTCTCGGTTGCGTTTATGTCGCTTTCGTACTTTTTCGGCCGCCTCGCGCTCGCTCTGGTCCTCGGGAGCCAGAGGGACGACGCCTGGATTTAGTTGGACTGTAAAGAAGGTTCGTAGATAGGCGGCGGCCATTAACATGAAGAAGAGGAAATAGAGGACGAGGAACGCCGTGACAACGCCATCCTGGTGTTTTCTTTTGTAGAGGAAGCTGACTAGAAACGAACATTGAGGTTAGAAATCCGGTTCATCGTCTTTAGGAGAGGGAGGGAGAGGGTGAGGGTCGAGATTTACTGCAGAGGCGACCGACGACGGCGTAAGTCGCAACGGCTAGAATGCCGACGATGAACAAGGGAATGATGCGCACTGCCCATCGCGTGCCGGAGCGACTGCTGTGATGCGGACGCGACATGGCGGCATCATGACCGCAGCCCTTCTGCCCTTCTCTACTCAGCTTTGCTCTTCTTCGATCTGGTGTTTCGGGTATGAAACTTGCAAGAGAAATGGGGATGATTTGTTTGCAATCTTACTTGGCGATGATCCCGGTAGCGGGAGATGACCAATCGACGTCTATTCGCACTGTATAGATATGCGGTGGGCTAGTGGCAGTACACAGTGCTAGAGGTTGACGTCATGTCGTCACCCATGCCTGCCTTCCTTGCTAAGCTCGGGCAGCTCATTTAAACTTGCAGCGCTAAACGGCCGGCAGTGGAAAATCCTGGCACAAACCAAAAAGATTCTGCCTCTCTCTAACACTCTAGCTCTTATACACCATTTGTCCTTTCATCAAAGATATCGCGATACGATAGTTCGTGCTTCAACAATTGCAATGCCTTGATACCTTGTTTTTTTCTGCATCATCCCACCTTCTTTACCCTTGCTTGTCCTACCTATCCATTTGTTCCTTTTCCCCCCGCCCCCACACTCTGCAGCCCATGCGACAATGCGGCTCTGCAAGGCTTCAAGGCTGTTTTCAACCGGAAATTCCCCCAACCAGACACCATGGCAACGCCCTCAAATTCCTTCTTCTCGTAGCCGGATGCAGCCACATACTAGTTGGGACTTAATGTATTTTCCCATCCTACCTGAGCATCCAACAATCCATTCAATCCAGCCCATGTTGCCACGCAGGCAGGTCTCAAAAATTGAGGCTATCCTGCTAGCGTTGCATCATGAGGCTCTCCAACCTCTCGTGACAACTGCAGCTGGAGAGCTGCTCATATTCTGCTTGCTGTATAAATACCCACCCATCTATGCTCTCCATGTCTGCATATAATTGTTCTTTTCTTATTCTCTCGCTACTGCAGCTGCTGCTCCTGTGTCAATACATGAGTCAGCTTGGGACTGGCATGCTTGCGCAAGTCTTCAGTAGATGAGTATGATACCAAGTCCCATATAAGACACGTCGCGCATACTCCTCTAGAGACTCAAAAGAAAAGACTGCTCCTTGTCGAATTCTCTTAAACGTTGATAGTAGTCTTCCTTCACAGGCCACACGACACGAGTGACAAGATGGCTGTCTTTCTACAAAGAGAGCGTTTACGAGCATGTAAACACACAACACAGATGAAAAAATAAAGAAAGATAGAAAGAGAGAATAGGGGTAGAGAGAAACACTCCCATTCTTCACAATGCAAGAGCAGCAACTCAGTTGCCTTGCTGGGGTAAACTCCAAGTGATCCAAGCTCACGCAGAGCCTTGCTCAGTCGGAATAGCGTCGGCCACAACCTGGGAAGCCAGATGAGTGCACCCAGTGGTTCACCGAGTATAACCGGTCCATACACAAGACTTTCCTGCTTTTTCTCAAACCAGTACTAGCATCACCGAGGGGGAAATGCAGACTCATCTCCTCACCTGACGCTGCCTCCCTGCAAGGCTTCCTGGGATATAGGGCAAGGCGAGTCGCTGCGCCATCCGCCTTTTCGAGAGTTTTCGTGGCACCAAACAAGACTATTACGTCTTCGGTACATATCTCGCTGTCCATCCTCTTGGGATTCGGCCGCGGAATACCTCATCCTGACTATCAATATGGGTAGTGTTATTACATTTCACACCGGCAGGCTTCCGGCCTACCATCTGGAGCTTGCAGACCGAAAAGCTATGGAACACTCCCATCATGCCGCCGACCTCTCACCCGCTGTCTCGCCTTCTCGCCTTCTCGCCTTCTTGCGCTCTAGCGCTCTAGCGCTCTTGCGCTCTTGCGTGAAGTTGAATACTGAGGCAAGATTCTATATAAGGGAGTAGCTGTCTGTGTTTCTCTCATCATTTCGCAACATCAACCACTTCGAAAGCATAAGAAGCGATCTTTTCCCTTCTACAAACTTCCTGCGTTCAAAAGGCAGTTTTCTAGTATCATTTTTAATTTCACCACCTGGTCTAGACTGAACTGAAGTCTGGGACCGCAATTCACTCTTCCCATACTTTGAAATCAAGAATAAAAGACAGCAACAATGGGCTCTACCGTCAACACTTGGCAATGCTGCCGCTGTGGGATGTCTGGGATGCTCAAGGACACAAACCCCCAATGTACTGAGCATAACTGCCAACATGCTCGCTGCAAGGATTGCATTGTCTTCACCGACACCGTCGGCCCTGCTAAGCCTTTCAAATGATCCCTTGGACTCTCTTTGATCTCTGGAGGCTGGGTACAACTGTTAATTTTGGCGTTCATATTTGCTATTTGGCCCAAAAAGTCCACACCTGTTCCCTCTTTTTTTATACCCTATTTATTGCATTTTGCTTCTTGTTTTCATTTTCGGTGGGAAGGATGAGATGGGAGAAGCCGCCAACATTACATTGCAAGATGTCAATTCATCAGTCGGCCTCCGTCTTCATACAGCTCTGCAGCAAAATCCCAAAGCTTCCACAACAGTCGGTATTTCTGCAAGGCCACAGCATATCTTGGAGCGAGGTTTGGGGCTTGTTATGCCTGTTGGAGATGGCCACACACAATTGCGAGACGATGCCGGTTTCTTTTCTGGTTAATGAACAGGGTGGTGGACATTTGTTATTTTGACTGGATTTCTGTTTTGATGATTTCGATTAGATAGCTCCTACAAATTTTAACTCCATGTTGAGCAGCCTTCTGTGCTCACTCATACCAACATGTAGCATCCTTTACCGCGAGCCTTGGTGAATGCAGTTCCCCAAGAGCGACGTGACTCAACATGCCATCCTACAAACGCAATCATCTTTCTACAGCCTTAAGCGAGTTCTCACTTGCAAAGTTCCGTAAGTAAGCGCTGATACTATTCCACGAAAGGAGGTCTCCTGCCTCCATATGGTGAGGCTCAACAGAGGAGATGAGGCTCAAGACTGTACCTGCAGGGGGCAGTGCTAATCGCCTCACTCATGGCAAGTGGGACATCACCGAGCGGGCACTACAGCTATTTGGTCGCAAAGTGGATGAAAATGATGAATCTTTCTCATTTTCTTCCTTGCGCAAGTGGGTAAAGTGAATATGGTTTTGGCTGCCTTCTTACACTTTGGCGTTTTAGCCGGCGTGGCGCTCCAGCTTAGCTTGTTAGCCTTGTAAAAGCGTGGCTGAGATGGAGTCATATGCAGCAACGGCGAGCCCGGTAGGCAAACGGCCACTTGCCTTGCCAAGAAGAGAAAGTCTATGAACATGAAACCCAAAAAGTGTAAAAAATCTTCGCGATGGCGCCGATGGGTCTAGATTACCCCTTGATTAGAGCGTTGCTGTGACGTGGACATTGTTGTCCAACGCTACGCCATACTGGACTCCAATTGGGTGGAAGCCATGAGAAATATTAGGAAATTGTAAAAATAGGCGAAATGGCTAAAAAATTGATTCTTATGACCGGAATGGTGATGGATTGTTCTCAAGGCTCCGTCGCTGTTGGCGGGGGCGAGTGGACACTTGCATCCTCGTGAGATGCTGTCCGTTCTTAATCGCCTTGTATGTTTCATAGTTTTGGCTAAGTTTCAATAGCACTTAGTAGATATTTATAGAAACAGCCTCATCGTATATACAAAGTGATTAGCTATACAACTACGGTTATCCCAGGGTTGGAGGGGGAGGGGGTGCGGTTTGGCTGGGAAGCAGTTACGACAGACAGCATCATTCTTTTTAACACATCACCACAGCTCCACGACATGTACGTGGCATTATTTTGACGCACTCATCATATTATCACCAAAATGGCGTACGGATAAAATAACTGCATGGCTCATCCATGTGTGCCCACCCACTTCTTTCAATGTCTCTGGTAAGTTTCTCAGCAGTAGAATTAGCATTCGTCGATACGATTCGAACTCGGTCATGGGCACGTTCAGCAACAGCAGCTTATTAGGCCAGAGGAAGTTGGCACAGAATAGCCTCATCGCTCTATAGACAATGTCAGAACGCAAATCAACGAGTAAACACTTGAAGCAGCGGTCACTTACCGCGGAAGCAACGCAGCAGAGAGCCGATTCCTTGGTCTTGGTGCATGTCTTGCGCAAATCTTCAGAGTCATAAAACTTTTCGTTTGCTGTACAAAGTGAGTGAGAAAACATGGACACTCGAGGTTGTTTTCTCTTTCACTGAGCACTTCACTTACGAATATGGCAGTCGAGGCCGATGATGCCAAGGAGGTAAGAGCCACAGCACTGGGGGTTGCTATAGAGGCCTTTGGGGCATATAAGAGAGGCATGGTCGTCGTTGTGGTGATCGTGATCGCCCCACCATTCGCTGCCGACGTTGAGGGCATCCTCAAGAGGAGAGGCAACAGCAACAGCGGCGAGGAGGGCGGCGATGGCGAAGAACTTCATTTTTTGCAGATTTGGTGGGTTGTTTCAACGAATTATTCGAACTCAAGAGTATAATACTAGGAGTCTTGTTATTAAGATGGAAAGTTAGCCAAGGTGATTTCGATTAGAAACGAGAACTTTGTGAGAGAAATACATGGCCTACTTATACATCCACACACTGATATAGATTATATTTTTACCACTCTTATGCAGTGATTCTCTCTCATTCAGCCAGATGAAATCGGCAATACAATATAGTGTATCTCTCGCTCTCATCTCAACGCCGATACGCCGTGTTTCATCTATCATGTTGGCCGAGTACCATCCTTTATTGTGGATATTTAACGTCAGGCTGAGCTACGACGCATAGGTAAATATGATTGGCCGTGACGTTTCATCCTCGGCTTTATTGTTTCTTCTCTTCTTCGTATATGGATTAGGAAGCAAAAGAGAGTCATTAAATCTCGACTTATGCCGGTACCTTGGGAACGATTAGCTTAGCCAGCTGCTTGGCCTTTATATAGAGAGTAAACATCTACTGTGTAGTGTTATCCCCAGCAGGCATGTATACATGTGCTACGACTATACCTTACAGCTTCATTGTGGTCACCGGGGTAAGTATGTCATCCTCAAGACCACTTGAGTTTGTTGTATATTGTATGTTTTGGCGCCATGGCCTTTTTTCGTATATGCTTATCTTCTCCTCAATAAACTTAGTACATGTGAACTTTCTATATGAGTGTTGAGTACTACTAGGTAGTTAAGGTTCCAGGATGATATCAGTGAGGTAGATACCCCTCTCTTTGGAGCGTCTACCCAACCCGCCAGCCAGTAAACCACTAGTTCTGCGTTCTCATATGTAGAACACATGATATATCCGCAGGCGTTACGTCGAAATGTTGGACTTTATGCCTCAGCTTATCACAACCACATGAACGGGTCGAGACAGCCAAATTCATCGCCACTTTCGTATAGATCAGGAGAAAAACAGAAGGAGCTTCGGGCCATCGCATCGCTGAGGTTATTTTATTTCAAGGGTCGTCGCCGCACACTCTATCTATGGTGGCTGTAGCATGGCAGCATATCGATGAGTGTAGCTTACCTACCCTGCAAGGATGTGAGATTGACCGGAGAATTCGACATCCGCAGACTCTGACTGATGAATTGTATGATGAATAGACAACTTCTTGGATTAATCTTTTACTGTAATGTGTTTCCTTACTTTACCTTTTCATTGTTTGACGCGATTGAGATCTGACGACAGCTTAGAGATATGACGAAGAACGCAATTTCAAGTAATGGTAGGATTCTACTGAAATGAGTGAATCATGAAAACATGTGACAGAATGAAAGCCTCAATTTTCTTGGCAAGTCGCGCCGCTTTTTGCTCAGAAGCTTTATAGAAAGGTATACTAACGTTCTGGTCATCCAATCATCAAGCCGTAATAGTATAGTGGACAGTACATCAGTTTGTGGATCTAGCGAAACACTGAAAACCGAGGTTCGATTCCTCGTTACGGCATTCAAAATTTCATTTTTTGCATTTTCGCCATTTCTTGCGTCCATTTTTTCCCTTCTCTGCAAAACGTCTCAAAGAATACAACGACTTGAAACTATAGCAGACGCCTGCTTACAATTTTGTGGCCTGTTTTAAGCGAAAGAATGCACATCATCGTAGGCTTGATTCCCGGAGATGGGATATTGCTTTTTTGCATGCCAAGGCTGACTAATGGTGCGGAACCACCGCCTCACCAACCACAGCCAGTGTACGGAGTAAGCTGTAACTACATGTACTTGATATACGGGATATTCCAATAGTATACCACAAATCCTTCTGATAATGGTGGCCGAGTATATTCCTATTGCACACCGAAGATGAACGTCACCGAACTCATAGGCAGCAGCTGACCGGAGGGAAACAAGCAACACTGCTTCGTGCGGAAGGTGGTGCGGAATTGGACCGCAGCTGAGCTCCAGAGTGCCCACAGCAGCTTCCTTCCTCCAGATTACAGCTCGAAACTTCAACTTTCCCCTTTTCACCGCAGACTGTGATGGATTCTATTGACATTTTTTCCTCTTCCTCTTCTATTGAGGTTCTAATAGACTTTGCAATCTGTCTGCTTCTTCGCCGAATTCTATTCATATCATATTCTTTGCCGTCTCTGGCTGCGATTGTCACAAGTGAATGGTGTTTCCTCTCGGTGATGGCTACGAGCTTCTCCTTCGTGAAGCTTGTTCTCATTTCCCATCTAGGCTTATGTTTGCCCAGGCAAAACGGCAAATGGAGCTAAAAGACGTGATTCAACATTTAGCCCTTTCCTTGCGAGCACTCTCTGTCAGTATTAACAGTAGCGACCCCATGCAGGACAAGAATCCGAGAGACGCCATTTTCCTCCAACTCGCTCCCCACGTCTTTGACCGTACTATCGACTCGAAGGCCGTGTCTCGAAAGACTCTATATGCAAATTGGACGCCGCGAAAGGTAGGCAGCTTTTCAGAAGCCTTGAGACCAACAGACTTCAACTTAGGTTTCGAATGAGCCGTGATGAATGATGACTGCTTTAAGGACAGAACCGGCCCTACCGTTCTGTTCAACTGTGAGAACCGCTTATGGTGTCAAAATGCAAATCCCGAAAGGCACAGCCGTCCGGCGGGCCAATCAGTGACGTAGAGCTCAAATCTGGTGATTTACTTGAGAGACATACGTCGAAGTTGAAGATTGCGCCTCAGAGTGATGGCATCTGAATGTGTGTTGTCTGCCAACCTTGCATTTATGGTCAATATTCGAGTGTGCTATGACAATGCAACAAAGAATTTCTCGATTGTTTCGCAAGGTTTGATTGACATGACTACTGAGCGGCCAGAAAAAGCTGACTCCGATATCACAATTGGCGTAGTACACATGTGAACGAGACATCTGGATACTTCGATCTGGTATGGATTCCGATGCTCAATAGCCATTGCTCTTGATTCCAGCGCGGCCATCATAAATGCTGGGCCGGGCAAAGACTTCATGACAGCGAATGAAAGGATGCCCAATGCCCGGGGCTAGATCTGTTTCGCTCAGTCCTGAAAGGCACGTCTTTAGCTCGCGGCTCAACCTCTCTCGTCCAACTGCACCTCAGGTACAATCAGGGTCCTCCTTTGGTCGTCTTATGGTTCTGGACTCTACGCATGCTCCGTGCTGGCCAATGTGAACAAAAACGATATCTGGTCACCACATAGGCATACTACTCCTTGAACATGCAAACCTCACAGCTCGACTGCACATGAAATGCATCTTCTCAGTCATCCAAGCATCGAGAACTTGGCTGATCACATTTCCTCACGAGCTTCAAGGATAATACCCGAATCATCAACTCTCATTATCGCCTAAACCATATGTTTGCCGTCCCCAACTCCAAAACTTTACTACAAAAAACAAAAGCAAAATCAAATACTTGTAAGCAAACCGTTTTTGCAACTCATTCCCCCCCACCTTCGCCCAAGAAATAAATCCTTCACCAGTGAAAAAAGAAAAGTACAGAGAAAGCATATGAAAAACAAGGTAAAATCTATCAAAATAGCCTTATCCTCCAAAAATAATGATAACAAGAGTGTCAACGCAAAGCATAGAAGTCGTTTGCTGCTGAGAGATGACAGTCGGACGTCCCGTATTATCGAAAAAAAGAGTCCGGAGCGAAGAGCTATGGTGAATAAGAGAAGCCGCAGCCAGTGTCTACAACGTACACGGAAACGGGTTTCGGAAAGCCATGTTGAATCGCGTCGTTTGTCCCAGGGACAACAGGATAAGCACACGCAGGCTTAGTACATGATCAGACAACGGCGGTGATTTCGGCGGCTGCGCTGACGGTGATTGATGCGCTGATCTCCTGTTTCTTCTGTTGACGCTTGGCCTTTACCGGGCTCTTGATCTTGATGCTGACTTTGGAATATGCCCTCTTGGCAGTCTTTGTTGAGTTGATAGCCTTTTTGGGCTTTGTACCTTTGGCAGGCTTGGTTTTCGCCATTTTGATGGGTTTGAGAGTTTTGACGGGCTTCAACCCCTTGACAGGCTTCAAGGTCTTGTTGGGCTTGAGCGCCTTGATAGGGTGCAATGCCTTGACGGCCTTGAGAGTTCGGATGGGCTTTGGTTTGGGCTGCATCTTGCGCTTCTTGGAACCAGGCTCCACGTTCTCCTCGTTCCCAGTCAGCTCGTTGAGCTTTCTCTTTCCTCCCTTGCCCTTGCCCTTGCCCCTGCCCTTGGTGGCGACCTTGATATTCTCCTTGATGGGCTTGATTCCCTTGGGCTTGGGCCCCAGCACGCCTCGGCAGTTGGGCTGTCCACAGAGACACTTTTGGACATTTTTGGCCGAAAAGGGGTCAAAGTTGTAGTCATACGTGAGCTCCTCACCCGTCATAATTGGCCTGTCACCAGCAAAGAGAGCCATTCTAGGCTGCCCTGAGACGATCCACTTGATCATTCGGCAGTTGGGGTTGCAGCTATGGTTTACAAATCGAGCAATGCTGCCCGTGGTGGCATCAATAATCATGTTTTGATCAAAGCTCATTAAGTAATAGCACTATCAAGGAAAAAGAAGGTATGTTAGCCCCATGATACAACGCTCCAGGGAAGCACGTGCTGCCTGGTTTCGGTTTCTGCTTACCTCGTTATTCTTATAGATTTCATTCATTCGTCGTTCACATTCCTCTTCGGTGATGATCTCGCCTGCGTATTCCATGATGATTTGGTGAGGCTCGAAGCAGCGATTGCTGCGGACGCCATAGCCGCGGTCCGACGTCTTGATAACCTCGACGCCGACGCGATACTTCCCACCCTTGGCTCGCCGGGCTGTCAAGTCGGCAAAAGCACGATTCGTGCATTTGGCCTTGCCAATGTTGCAATTTGTGTCGTCGCATTCGTAGAGCATGATTCGGTTCTGACACGTCTCGGCACAGCCATCCTCTGGCTTGCACACACACTTGGACTGATAATCGAGGATGTGTGGCATCTTTTTCCAGACTTCTTTGGATTCGCCGATGAATCGGTCTAGAGGCGCATGATGGTTAGCAGAGGGGTCGCGTGGACATGATTGATTTGTAAATATAGCACATACTCTTGGTCATCTTCTTCCACTCATCGGGCTTGGGCTGTCCCGGCGGCAGCGGGTTGCAGACGTGGAACGGCAGCTTGAAATCGCGACCAGTCAACAAGATTCGAAAGCCCGTAAAGATGGGCGCGGGCATGACCTTGTTCTCCTTGCGGGGCATGAGCTCGGGCAGTTGCGCCAGCTGCTTCTTCTCGTTTGCTGTCAGGCCTCGAGTAATGTCCTGTGTCACTTCTTGTCCTGAATAGAGACCCTTGGAGAGGTACTTTTTGACCCTCCGCTTCTTGACCTGGGCGACGGGCTCCTCCGATTCCTCCTTGACCTTGATCTCGGCCGCCACTTCGACCTTTGCCCTCTTGCGCGCACGCTGGCGCTCTACGGCCTGGCTGGGGTCGACATATTTGCCATTGGACCAGACGCTGTGAATGACGGGGTTTTCGTCAATGTGGTTGAACTCCTTTGTGTCCTGCAAGCGCCGCAGCTCGCGGGACAGTTTGACCGGCTTACCAACAACCTTGTTATTGCGCCCGCGCTTGGCAGCAGAGAGCTTGGCGGTAATGGACGATACCGGCGTCGCACCGGCACTTGCGGCGCTATTTGGGCCGGCGAGACGCGCCACCGATCGCAGCGAGCGTGGCGATGGTCGCGCCAGGCGTTGCGCGCGCGGTGTGCTGCGTTTGCTGGGAGATGTCTCCAGATTCAACGCGTCAATGTTGGTAGACGCCGGGTCCAGCGCACCGACATCGGCGTCGCCAGGCGTCAGAGTGCTGCCTGCAATGGTCCGGCGCCTGCGAGTGGCCACGATGTCGCCTTTGGCACGGCGTTTGCCATGCGCGCTGGTGCCGCTGAGCTTGGCCAGGTTGTAGACGGGCAGGCTTGCTCGTGCCCTCTGAGGCCGGCGCGGCGATGGCACGTCGGACGCGGGCAGGGCGGGAGCGACCGCGACGACGGTCGAGTCGTCAATCACGGTGATGACATCGTGTTTCGAGGTGTCCGAGTGTAGACTCTCGCTGTCGGTGACGGTCGTGGGGGGAGTCGAGCTCGACGACGCGAGGTTGGACGAGTCGTCGGTCGAGGCGGAGATCGAGTCGCCGCTTTCGATGGCAGCAAACAGGGACAGCATGGCTGCGGATTGCGTTATAGCGGCAACGGGGTTGCGGTCATGAAGCAGCAAAAAAGAGGCAAGCAAACAAACAAACACGGCCTGGGGAAGAGGCGAGACAAGAAGCGGAATAAAGGCTAAACAGGCAGCCGAAGAGAGAACAAAGAAAGATGCCAGAAAAAAATAAACTGCTCAAATGGTAATAATAACGAGAATCAGCCTGCACGGCCCAGCTGGGAGAAAAGTTTCAAAAAAGGAAGCGGGAAAAGGGAAAAGTCGCAGGTTTGCTGGCAAGTCGTCGTTAGTCGGCAAAGTTGACAAAAACGCGGGTGCACGCGTGAGCTAACAACTAAGCAGCACGCAGATAAGCAAGCGGATAGGCGGGTAAGTAGTAAGAGGAGGAAGAGGCGAGCAAGGGCGGCCACGGTATAAATAAATAGAGGAGCCTTCTCCCCGACTAAGAGACAAGCTCGGCGTTTTTATGATGGAGTCAGGTCAGTCCACACTCGCTGGTTGGTATGGAGCTGGAACTGTATTGTATATAACAAGATATACGAGTACACAGACGGTACCTTGAGGGTTATGTTATGTTGATGTGAGTTGTTGGATGCCCACAAGTTGCGCGCGTTCAGATATGGCGTCTGTGCATGTATTGTATTGGTACTCGGTATATTCCGGAGGATGGCTGTGATTATGAGTACGGAGAGTAGGTAGTCGCCGTAATGCGATTGTGCGTGCTTTTGTGCCTTTGCTCCGGTAAATGGCACCAGACTTGCCCTTGGATAGACCAGACCGGGGATGGCGTCTTCTTGATCTGATAGGTGAAGTGAGCAGCGAAGCCACTTATTGACAACCCGCCTTTTTCTCAGTCAGATACCGTAGCCAAGCCGAGGCCTTTTCGCCGGCCTTTTGGATCAGGGGCTGGTTTGGAAAACGAGGAGCCACAACTGAGAGCGGGAGAAAAAAAAGAAAAAAAAGGGTAATGAGGCAAGCTGATCCCAGTTGAAAGTAGAGTGTTTGAGTAGTGAATGGTGGTGAATGTGGGAGTAGGTGAGTGGCAAGAGGTGAGAGGTAAGAGAGGGTGGAGAGTGGAGGAGGATCGGAGCTGACTGAGATGAGGGTGTCACTGAGAAAGTGGATTGAGGCTAAACAAGTGAAGAGGATGTGAGGATGTCTCTGGCGATGTCCAATTCTGGTGATGTTACGTCTTGTCCGTCTTTCTCTCTGCCGTACTCTCGCTGGTTCCGGCGCACACTCGCAGTCTCTTCAGAAGAGTTGAAATTTTTGGCTCAAACCAAAGAGACTTCGTCCTTCGTGATTTTGCCCTCCGGTTGCGGCTCTCCTTTTACTTGCCGCCGAGGAGTGTGTTGTAAGCAAGGTTGAGAAATTTCAGGATACACTACCACAGGAGGAAGAGGGGGAAAGTAAAAAGGGAATAAGTAGCTCGGGGGGATGGGAGAACCAAGAAAAAAAAGCAAAAAGAGGCGCAAGTGTAAAAAAAAAAATTGGCAACTTGACCAGCGGCTGAAGTGAGCGTGAGGCGCCCGAGCTAAATAAAAGTCATTGCGCAGGCATTGCGTTATCCGAAACAACAAGAAGATGGACTTTGGTCAATCTTGCCGAATCCTCCCTTTTACTTCTTTGGACAAAGTCCTGGCCTGGCCTGGTCTGGCCCTGTCTTGTCTTACTCCGCACCTTGATGATGTTGCCCGTGATATTGTCTCTCCCTGCTTGATCCAAGTCGCCGGAGGGCCTCAACGCAGGCCGATGCGACGGTCAAGGTATCATATATTACGTATATATTGCGCGTGAGAGCTGGCAATCCTGTCGAGGCCAAGCGAGTATAAAACGCAAAACCAGCCGAGGAGTGTCGGTTGGCAAATTTGTGATATGCTACCGCCATAGGCGCCATCTCCCAAATGTCTGAGATAACTGCCTGATATCTGACCGTGTGGTTGTCCATCAGTTTCTTCCATGCCGCTATTCATTTTGCGCCATCGTCCATGATCAGCTTGGTTCGTGGTTGGTAAAATATTCATGCTCTCCTTTCCACCGCTGCGTGGTAGCAACATGCCACTCCTCCCTCGCGTTCAGAACATCAGTCAGATATTCTCAACAACAAAACACAAAGCACCGGAATCTCTATCTGTGTGTTTGCCTGCGTATTCATACGGCGCCTCACCGGTTCGGGAGTGCAGGGTTCTCAGCCTCAGCCTGAGTCAATGTCTCTCATGCCAATCTCCTCCATTCTAAAATGGCTTGTACCACTGCCATCACCGCAATGGTGTTTAGCGCAATCACCATAATCGGCTGGCTCGGACAAGAAAGTGCCAAATCAGAGACCTCAACTCAACTAGACTATGAAATACTGGCTTCGATGATAACCATGGATGACCTCTTGTAAAATTTACCCGTTTGGCTTGTTCTCTACAGACCCAGTTGTGGTGAGATAATAATGGTGTTGCGGTGAGACATACATTGCAGCATACATTATCGGGTTAAAACAGCAGTAACTCACCGGTATCAGCCTCTGTTAATTACAAAAAAAATTCACCAGGCGTTCACTTATTCTATCCGTCTGTGTTACATTTCGTTTATCATCATGTCCTGCCATTCGGAACATGTTAATATCTGAGAAAGTGAGTTATGCACCAAGATGTTGGCAGATGGAGCCGAGCTGGATGACGATGGTGGTGGAACTAGCCTCCAGGATTGCAAGGTTCGGATCAAACTGCCTCTTGTTTACATATTCAAATCATCAAAGAGGGGAAATAAAAAGTATAAGTGAGAAATGCGACACCGTGATACTATTAATGAAACCACAGTCACCGGAGAGCCAGGTACGGTTCAGTTCCTGTGGGAAAGGGTAAAATGACTCTCTGTCCTGGGTATTTAGCCAAGGTATAAGCATGGCTACTAAGATACAGTGGCATAGAGGATTTGCTGTCACCGCAATTGCCTTTTAAATATCACCATTTAATGTGGTTCAGCAAGAGATGCATGTCCTACTCCGGTAATGCCAACTCTATTGCCTGGGGATGATGAGCCTGCCTCTACCTGGGATGTCGAGACTCACTGGCCGGCTACTCAGGAATAAGAGAGAACACGATAGCCAGGATTTGTCAAAATGGATTAGTTTGTCGTGATAAGCAATCGGCGAAATACTTTCCACAGCAAACCTAGTACTATATGGTATTATTGCGCATAGTAAAGGGATAATGTGCCGGATAATCCAAGCAAGAGTCGACAAAAAGGTGTCAAAACAGGAAACACAGTCTTGTATATATTTCGGAAAACGTCCATCGTAGATAAGCAGACGTTTTATCTATTAATTGCCAAAAGGGCAAACATCTAGGGGGAATCTAATGCACAGCATTCTTTGCACATGATATCGGGTATTATGGGTATGAATGAAGCGTGGCAGCGGCAAGGCATACCGGACGCCCACGCTCATCAGGACAACAACATCAAAAAAGGAGATAAAGAAAAACTTCCGTTTCCTCCCAATTTCACAGCAGATCACCGTCGCGAGTCAAGGAGACATAGGCCTGACTGCTCCCTTAAGCCGACTTCTCCGGCTGCGCGGTCTCAGTGGTCTCAGTTTCCTTGGGCGCAGCCTCAGCCTCCTTCGGAGCACTATCAGCAGCGACGGGGATTTCCTCAGTCTTCTTTTCCTCGGTCTCTTGCTTGGTCTCCTCCTCTGCAGGAGACTTGGCCTCCTCAGCCTTGGTCTCCTCAACCTTGGCCTCCGGCTCAACAGGGGCAGGGACTTCCTCTTTCTTGGCCTCCGCGGGAGCTTCCTCTTCCTTGGGCCTCACAGGAAGGTCCACGGTTTGAGGTTCTGCGGCTGCACTCTCATTTGCTTGTGCGGGGGCCTCAACGGGAGCGACAACAGCCTCTGGCTTGGGCTCTACAGGGGCCTCCACCTTTGCTGCCTCGGTAGCATCAACAAGCGTCACCGTCAGGCCTTCTTGAACAGGAGAGCCGCTGCCTCCATACTCCTGGGGCAATGAGGGGGCAATGCTCTTAAGCTCCGTAGATAGAGTAGTGCCGGATGTCATCGGGTGGAACTTCTTCAAAGTTGCTGGCGCAAGGAAAAGCTTCATGGCTCCGAACATCCAACCCATAATGGCAGGCACGTTGACAAAGTACTTGTGCGCCAGCAGTTCTGGGTAGGCCGTGGAGAAGACAGAGATGGTCTCCTTGCTGGCAGCCTTGACAGCGGGGTCCATGCGGAAGAAGCTGACTGATCGATAGTCGTGCACCTGAAGCATCTGATGCTTGTCGGTGCCATCCTCTGGGAGGGGCTCAGTGATGTCGTTGAGATGGAGCTGCTGCACGCCCAATTCCATGAGAGCAGCGCGCCACTTGATGAACCTACGAGCGTCGGCATGAATTAGAAAGACTTTCTCTACGTTGTGTTTTTAGGCAAGACACTTACTCGGTGACGTCGCCAAAGGTGGCCTTGTTGTCCTTGACGGAGCCGTAAATGTTCCAAGTAATGACGGTGTTGTTGCCGGCCTCATCCTTGTGGTTCGTGACGAAGCCGAGGCCGCCAAACTTGTCCTTGTTGAAGGCCTCGCTCACGAGCTTTGTCGGCTGCCACTTCTCTCGCCAAGCCAGGGCAGCGGCAAGCTGCTTCTCAGCACCGGCCAAATCGCCATTGTTGGCGCGCAGGAACTTCTGGAGAATGACTTGAGTCGGGGCGTGGCCGGCATCGGTCGAAAGCTCGACACCCCACATCTCGCTATGAGTTGACTCCTTGATGATGTCGGCCAGACGCGCCGTGAATTTGGCAAGGGGAGTCTCTGGCGTCGAGACTGGCGCCTCGGCCTGTTCAACCTTTTCAGGGGTGGCGGCGGGCACGTTTTCCGTAGACATGATGGTGGCTGAATCAACGACGAATGACGAGTTGGAGGGATGGTTGGTTGCTTGGCAGTAACAAAAGAAAAGTAGAGGTCAAAAATTCTCAACGGGAGAGAAAGGGTTGACGTTGTTGTTTAGCACAGGCCAGGGCACTACAGGCACGGCAGCAGCAAAAAAATACTTGGAAGCCTGCTGGGGGTTCGGCTATTGCTTGCTATCAATTAGCAGCCTGGGCAGCGACGACTGTAGCAACGGAGTGGTACAGTACAAAGCGTGTACCAAAATATTACAAGATGATAAGCAGCGATTGATACTGCACAACAGCAACAAATATAAGTGGGAAGAGAACCGTAAATCGGGGGAAGAAGTGTAAATAGATATACTGGATACGATGATATCGTATGTACGAAGTAGAGAGGGGTAAGAAAAAGGAGTCGCTTCACGTTATGTGTTGCTCTTTTCGAGGTCGGCAAAGAACGGAGCAGCATGTTATTTACAGGCCCTTTATTTTTGGAGGTGAGCCCAAGCTGGTAATTTAGACGAAACCACGGCGTACCTTGTACTTTGTAAGGCGCCGGCTACCCAAGGTATCAGATGGTATTTCCTTCGTACATACCTCGGACTACGAGGTACATGCCTCCGTGATTTCACTAACACGACGGGACAGGCAAGGTACCGCGGCGGTAGTACCGATAAAATTGCGAGGTGGTAAGCCGGTACTCTGTACCACTGACGATGGAGCCAGTCAATGCCCGCCAAAAAGCCCGGGTACCTGACAGGCAAGCCCTGTTGGCCGTCTAGATCGATGTTGTTTAATTTCGTCTTCAGGTGCCAAATAACCATCACGCATTGGGCGTTTACGGAGAGACTTGGGAGGCGGATAAACCACTGCCGAAGCCGTCTCAGGTACAGCTACATACCTAACGTTGGCCGTACTCGTCTCTTACTAATGTGCTCAAGCACGAGGAAGGTGTGCCCATTCGGTTATATGACCAAATCTTGGCCGACATCATGCCACGCGGGAGTCGAGCAGTCCCCAATAACAGGGAAGAAGTACTATGGTAACTGACCTGTACCCAAGCCCCGGAAGTCTCAATGCCTTAGGTAAGGTACCATGACACAGGTAGCATCCAGGAGGCAAGACAGTCCTGACTGTAGAGACCGACTTTGGCACCTGCCGCAATGCAATACTCATACCTGCCTGGTATCTTTTGATCTGATATGGAACCAACTTTGGACTTGAGAGGACAATTTGTCTTCCTCACATCACCATTGCCGTCTTTTCGTCGCTTACAACTACCGGAATTTCCCACCGCTTGCTGCTCCTTTTTACGCGTGACTTGTCAACTACCGTTCAAATTCCTATTTATGGACTGTCTGATCCTTGTGTTCCCATTTCGCCTGACGGACGGTCTAGCTTCGCGGGGTTGACTCGAGATGAATGCAAATCATCCCGCCTGCGTACCACCGACATCATTCACCACCTTGTTTACCAACCGACAACTGGCTTCCTCAACCCATAGCAAACGCAATAATTCGAGCCGTGTAAGCCGCCAATGAATCGATTCTCCGGCCATCAGCCACCCATTTGGGGAAAACACAGCTTTGCCCACGACCGTCCTGTGTATACGACTGCTCGCCCAGTTTCTACCGCGGTAGAGCGTCCCTTGCCCAACTCGGTGCCCAATGAAGACAAAAGGCAAAAGCACCCAGTGCTGGAAAAGAAAAGAAAAAGAAAGAAAGAAATACCCATAGTCTTAAGCATGGCGTCTTCTTGTCGCCCTACTTCATCCCCCTTACGACAATCAAACGCCGAAATGTTGACCCGTTCGAGAAAGGTTATCGTTCCTTTTTTCACAACAACCATGTTGCGTTAGACTTGAGTAAAGGCACGCGTAAGGATACGCTCCACAGCCGAAAACTCCATGTGAGCCGCCTGCGCCAACGTCATGTCATCGAACTGTGGCCCCAGGATGTATCCTACTTCGGCCCAGAAATAGCCCCAGTACATGTCTGTCTGCTCGGCACGCTCTTGAAGCCCAGTACGCTCTCGGAGAGGCAGGGCGAAGATATCCTTGTGAGTTTGCTCACGAATGATCGCAACATACCACTGTTGGGTCAGACACAAACACGTCATTAGTCTACGCGAGGAAATCCAAGGCTGAAAGTATGCTGAGATATAGCAAACTTACCTCAACAATATCGAGAGGGAAACCAGGCTTTGGGCCAATGGCATACTGATGGCGCCAGCGGTCCGCGAAACGCGGCAGCTGGTAGTATTCTTGATCGAGCGCTTGCATGTTAGTGATCCAAGCGATTCCGTCCTTCATGCATGGCGTGAAGCCAGGGCAAAGCATGGCTGCTTGAACAAGGCGCCGGAGCAAGAAGGGAGTCAAGTGCGCGGCATCTTCCTGGAAAAGAATGCTTCGAGTAAGTTGACGAATAAGCGCAAGGGTAGCCTGGTAGATGGCCTCTCGTTCTTTGATCGTTACGCAATCGGTGAGGAACCACGGAAATTTCTTGATAGTGCTGATCAAGCACTCATAAGGGCGCTGCGGGCAATCCCTAGAAAAGGGAGACTTTGTTCGTCCAAAAGTGTTAGCATACTTTTCTCAAACGTGAGGAGAGGGGCCGTCTAGGACGGAATGAGAAAAGAGACAGGATAAGAAACAAAGGATCGTTGGGGGCAGTACAAAACTATGGCCACGTACTCGATGAGGCACCTCGACGTGTTTGACAAGCATAATCATCTCCTCCTCGGAGATGAAGCCCTTGAAATTATCCCAAGGGCAATTGGGATTAAAAGGCATAATCTCGGGGGTGACACCATTCCAAAAGACACCGCGAGCGATTGGGAAGAGATCCTTCATGAGGTTGGCCTGAGAGGTCACCTCCACTTCGATGGGACGATCGCCCAGGCGACTGAATCGGCCGGCGACAACATTGGCTCGGTGTCTCTCGACCGCCCTCATTGCATCTTCAAGAGACACAAACTCGACATAGGCGTCCATAGTCTTGCTCGTCACCTTGTCCATGATAATGTGCACACCTTCGTCTGTGTCATTCAAAACCTTGGAATTGCGGCCGAGGAAAGCAATCACTTCGGCACGAGTAGAGGAAAACGGAATCTGCGCAGCAAAATTAGCAAAGAACTTTGTTAACGAATTTGCAAAGGGTGGGAGCGGAGTAGTCACTCACGTTTCTCAGCTTGATAATGCCCCAGTTCATTGGTTTCGCCAATCTGGCCGACTCGATAAAGGGGAAGTTGGATGGATCCATGGCATCGGCCAGAGTTGGAAGGCCCGTGGCGGTATTGATCAGCTGCAGAAGCTTGTTCGAAGGCGGCGCTTGCATCATTGGGGCATTATTCGAGCAATCAGGCGGGATCTCGGACAGCTCAGTCGTTTCACTGAGACGCACACCAAAAGGTCTGACAATCTGGCGCACGATTCGGGCTTCTCGATCGCTGTCATGCTCGGGAGCTTCGGCAACAGCAAGCCCAAGATCAAATCTTGGGGGAGGCTGCATCATGATGGGATTGATCGAAGCAGGCAATCCAGCTGTTCGGGGAGCGTAGTTGCGTGGCTCGCTGGCGACCGTCGACATGCCCGGGCTGAAATAGCCTCGGACAGGAGCACCAGAGCGACGCTGAGGCGGAGTCATGTCGGACGAAGGACTAGAAAACACTTCAGGTTGAAGAGAGTTGAGAGACTGGCTGTGTGGAATAATCGCTGGACGATCATGTTGCTCAAAACCAGTGTCAGCCATTCTCTGAAGGCTTGTGCGATGGTCACTGCTCGCCTCTTGATAGAAGCCAGCAGTCGAGGCATGGGGTGGAGTCTGAACTTGCAGGAAGTTTGGATATTGAACATCTGGGTTCTCTACCGCAACAGACTCGAACCCGCCTTGGTACTGCACTGACTGCTGGGCTTCATTGAGGTCTCCATTATCTGGGACGCCTTCCTAAGGCATGCCCACATTTGGATTCTCATCGTGGGCTTGAGTGTGAGCCAAAGCAAACGAAACCATGTCAAATTGATTGTGAGCCTGACCCGGAGTCTGATGTTGAACCTGATTCTGGGCCTGGCTTTCAGTCTGAAGTTGGCTCTGATTCTGGTGAAAGTTCGGAACGCGGTAACCAGGAGGGTATCCGACTACAAGAGGACGGGTGTCGTCCCTCTGCCTAACCTGCTATTGACAGCTATGAGTACGGCTACATCAAAATCAAGGGAATGAATGAAGGGGAAAAGAAGAAGAAGAGAACAAGAGAGAAGGAGAAGAAATCAAAGGAGACAGCGGGAGCGACATTTGCTTACCTGTGTCGATGCAGATGGGACCCAAATACTGGCAGATGGGTTAAACGAGCTGCGCTGAGTACCGCCTTGACGGTTGCTGCCGCTGACTGCATTTGGAGCATTGCGGCTAGACGGACTGCCGTCAGAAGAGGTGTTGGGGGCAACTTGACCATTCTGTCCATCTACAAAAGGCGACGGATGAGTCTCTGCCGACGCGGGTTCAATGAAGGGCGCTTCGCTAAAGCTTATGCCCTGAACAGCTCTCGGGCGACTCGAAGCCATCCTGACAGCGTCGGTCTATTGAAAAATTAGCAAAGTGCCAGAAAGTTGTGTTGCACGTGAACAACTGTTCAGGGTGAGAATTCGAAGGGAACGAAGCGAAAGAAGAAACATATACGAGGGTAATGGCGAGCTCAGAAAGAGGGGTTGGGAACTTTGCAGGGCCAATGCAGAAAGTTCGCAAAACCAACAATGGAACACAACAGCAGCGACGTGCTACTCAGAAGAAGAAAAAACTGGGAGATTGCGAATTTGAAACGCGCAAAGCAGCTGGGGGTACAACATACCGTTTCCTTTTTGCAACGTTACTGGTGAAAGAGGCTGCGCGAAGCTCTTCGGAGATCAAGGTGTGGTGCTGGTGAAGGAAGAAGAGGGAGTGTGGAGGGAGATGAAAAGTTCACAGGAGATCCTCCAAACAATGAGTTAGTGGGGCAACAGTAAGAACAAAACCGAAGGCTGTTGCTTTGGCGCGCTTTGCCAGCTGTTGAAGCTGAGGCTGGCAGGCAAAGCGTTGCTACCGGACCGACAAGTTGGCCTGCCAGATCTCCCGGCTGCTCGGTAGCGAAGACACCTTGCTGGCAGCTGTTGAGGGCCTGTGAATGATGAGAAAAATGCAGAAGAATAAAAGGGGCGGATGGTTGTCGCTTTGAGAGGCATATATGGATGGAGATATCGCAAATCTGGGTCTTTTGTAGTAAGACGAGGCTATTTGAGACATGTGAGCTTGCCTGCCGAATAGAAGGTGAACATGAATCTTGACCAAAGCATTCTTATGAACAACACGCCACTGGTGAGTAAATATATGTAAGATTTGTTTATTTAGACTACCAAATTCCTTCACCACCTTCACCAATAGAGACGAAGAAGCCAGTATATCACGGAAGTATGAGAATCCCACTCGAGCCTAATGTATTTGACAGATGTCTGAACCGGGATTAGAGTACAAAGTTTCGCTTTGGCCACATCGTTGAGAGTCCTATTTCGTGGATACATAATGTTTTAACGCAGTTTAATCAAACTAACATGTCGGTCATCAGCTGTATGGATCTTGGGCACAAAGGGGGGTGGTGTAGTGCACTCACAGGTGTCAGGAATGACTCGGCGACGAATCGTGCTCTGGCGTTAAGCTGCAAATTTCACATATCAGTTCAGGTCCATCATATCCACCAGGCGGGAGAGCACATACGAAGAGCTTCATCTCGGAGATCTCCTTATCGACCTCCTCTTGGAACTCAATGATGAAATCGACCAGCTTGTGCTTCAACATCTCCTCCGTGTGGAAGTTTGTTATCAGGAAGGAAATATCATAGCCCTATTTCGGAGAATCACGCGTTAGAAAAATGCTCCACGTCCAGGTTCGAGTATCACAGCGTCGGGGCTGGAAAGTTCGGATGGATGGGGGTATCGCGAGGATCAACGGCCCCCCATCTCAGTGCCACCTACGGGAATTGGTTTTCTTCGCAGAATGAAGAATGCCTCGGCTCTCTGGGTCAGGAAACGGGCAAACTTGTGGACAAGTATGGATTCGATCTCGTCGGCCTGCTTGATCTTGATGCTGATGCGGACAGAGTTGATGCTCGGCTCAATCAGCACCCGCTCGTTCTCGTTACGCGCAATGACGAGGGGCGTGAGGACGACCTCGGGGGAGGTCTGGGCCTCGATCTCGGGGACGTTGTGGCGCTCGGTGGTCTGGGAGGCAAAGTTGGACAGGGTCAGGGCGGCAGTCAAGCTGCTTCGCACGCATTGGAGGTACGGCCGCAGTGATTGAGACTGGATGGATGGCAAGCAGGTCAGCGGTCAGTTTTCCGAGCTTGACACTCACACTCGCACGACGGTCTTCCGGAACAAGTCCAGTCCAGGGGAAGATGGTTGAGCAAGAGGCAAAGTCTGCAGGGTAGGGCAGGGCATACCATGACTGCTAAAGGCTGCTGCGTGCCCTGGTTTGGGCCAATGTTGCGCAGGAAGCTATTCGCGGGTTTGGGTTGTGGTCCGGAGCTCCTGGCGACGGTACTTTCAATGTTACGTGGACTGGTTACTGGTAGGGGAATCCGCGGGGTTCGGGTCCGCATGTCACTAGCAGGAGGTTGACGTCTGTAGGCGCAAGGTGGGGCCCAGCTACAGGTGGTTGATTCCAGTCTTTGGTGGCTGCAGGCTTACTGTAGGCCGTCTGTCTGTTCTCTGTAGCTGCGCAGACGCTGGATCCAAGCTTGCGCCACCAGCCACAGCTCGTCTCAAACAGAGCGTCACGTGTCGGCTTATTAACTCCTATCGTGCCCAAGCTTTGTCGGAACCTGCCACACTGCACGCGCCACACCTCCCGCCATCAGGTACCACTGTCGTGACGCAGCGAGGGCTCCGCAGTGCTTCTCTTCCCTTCTCTCGACATCTCCCAGTGTTTCCTGTTCGACTTTGGACACTGGACTTCATTCTTGCTTTGTTGCAGGAGTATTATTCAGAAATTTCATCTTTGCTCGCCATTTTTTTGCTGTCCCCAAAGAAAGAACTCGTCGACTCGAGCTTCAGCTGCTGCTGAATCGACCGCCACCTTGCAACAATGGCTTCCATATCTGGTCCGTGATCCCCCACCATACCATCATATCACCATCCATTGCCCCCAATGTCTCGATCTAGAAGTCGTTTCTTTTCTACCCTTTCTATCCCACGGTTAATACGTACCGTAACTAACATGATGTTCCAATTGTTTTAGTTGTCGTGAAGCATCAGGGCAAGAAATATGAAGTAGAGGTCGATCCCGAATCGACAGGCTTGGACTTCAAGCTCCAGCTCTTCAGCCTTACCAACGTCGAACCCGAACGCCAGAAGATCCTCATCAAGGGTGGCCAGCTCAAAGATGAAGCTGATATGAGCAAGATGAATCTCAAGGCCGGCCAAAGCATCATGATGATGGGCACGCCAGGAGGTGGCGCTGGAGACCTGGTCCGCCCGGCAGAGAAGATCAAGTTTGTCGAGGACATGACCGAGGCCGAGCAAGCCCAGCAAGCTGGCGCCACCCCTGCGGGCCTCATCAATCTTGGAAACACATGTTATCTAAACTCGACTCTACAGACGCTGCGTTCCATCCCCGAACTTCAGACGGCCCTGACAACATACAGCCCGGCGGGCATGGCGCAGGCGGATTTGGCTGCCCAGCTCTCCAATCTATACAAGAACATGGGTAACACGCAAGACTCTATCCAACCTTTGAGCTTCCTCTCGGCATTGAGGCTCGTGTTCCCCCAATTTGCCGAAAAGTCCAAGAGCGGCCCTGGATATGCCCAGCAAGATGCTGAAGAGGCCTGGTCTCAGATCGTTCAGCAACTGGGTCAAAAAGTCACAATCAAGACGACCCCCGATACACCCAGCATTTCTTTCGTCGAAAAGTACATGGCGGGAGAATTCTCCTCAGTCCTTGAGTGCGATGAGGAGGAGGCCCGAAATGGTGGCGAACAGGCAATTGCCTCTAGAGATGCCTTTTACAAGCTCGACTGCCACATTGACGCTCAAACAAACCACTTGAGAGATGGCATCTTGGCCGCATTGAGTGAGAAGCTGGAGAAGAGATCAGAGGTGCTCGGCCGAGATGCCACTTATACCAAAAAGTCCAAGATCTCCCGAGCTCCCAAGTACCTCACTGTCCACTTTGTACGCTTCTTCTGGAAAAAGGAAACAAAGAAGAAGGCCAAGATCATGCGCAAGGTTACATTCCCCCAAGAACTGGATATAGTCGAATTCTGCTCAGACGAGCTCAAGGAGGCCCTGATACCCGTCCGAGACAAGGTCCGTGAAGTTCGGAAAGAGGAAGAGGACATTGAACGTGCCCGTAAGCGCCGGAAGAAGACCCACGACAAGGACATGAGTGACGTCCCTGGCGGCGCGGGCCTGCCTTCGGAGAGGGAGCTGAAGCAGCAGAAGGAGAAGGAGGCAAGCAAACCAGGCCAGTCGCAGAAGACGGATGATGCCGACACTGTCATGGGCGAGACTTTCAAGACGGATGCCGAAGTTGAGGCGGAGAGCGAAGCTGCTCTTCTTTCCGCCAAGAAGGAGCTCAATGCCCTGATAAATCCCGCTCTGCGTGATGATGACGGTGCCAACCAGTCAGGTCTCTACGAGCTCCGTGGCGTCGTCACCCATCAGGGTGCCAGTGCCGACAGCGGCCACTACACAGCATACGTCAAGAAGACGGGAACTGTGGATCCAAAGACGGGCAAGAAGGAAAAGGAAGATGGCAATTGGTGGTGGTTTAACGATGACAAGGTATCTGAGGTGACGGTTGACAAGGTTGAAGCGTTGGCTGGCGGTGGCGAGTCCCACTCAGCCTTGATCCTCCTCTACAAGGCGATCCCTCTGCCTAGTGCCGAGGGTGTTGAGGAGTAAGTCGGCTAAACCTCCCGTATACCGTTCTCCTCCGTTCTTGTTTTGTCACAGACGGGCAGGAAGACAAGGGATTTGCAGAATTGGGCGTTTGGGTCAGTTATTACCACTTGGCGGAGATGGGGCGAAGGAAGGTCGGATTCTGTCTATAGAACTGGTGAACTTTCTGGTCAAAGACACATACCATAATGTATAGAACAGAATGCTCCATGGACCAGAAAAAGACAATTCGAACACAATCGGATTAAAAGTTTTTTGTACAAGTCTATATGGGTATCGTGGTGATTTTCGTTTTCCAAGACCAGCTATCTTCCGTAATTTTCATCAACCATTGCTTGCGCCAGTTAAGTGAATTTATAACGTCAAAAGTCCGTTGCTCTATGTAGCATAGTAAAACAGAGGAGTTTCAATAGCCCTACTGTCAAGAGTGGAGGGCAGGCAATGCTACATGATTTCAGTAGCTCATTGCAAAACGGCTCAGGTTCCCTTTTCGGAATAAAAAGAGCCAGCGAACTTGCGCTATCGTTTCTTGGAATTCTCCTGCTCTTGCCGCCTCTCTTGGACACGCTCCCTGAAGACGTCCAGCTTCTTCTGCAAGACTGACCTTTGCTCAACAAGAGTGCTTCGCTGCTTCTCGAGCATGGCGATCTGTTCACTGGGAGTAATTTGGCGGAACTCCTTGATGGACTAAAGGATACGTTAGAAGGATGTCGACTAGTAAAGAAAGACAGCTCTGTGTATAAACCCTCCAATGAAGAAGAAGGCTAAAAGGTGACTGGCTAGGGCTAGGGAATTGACTGACCTGCTCTTTCTGCTTGTCCGACTTGAGCTGTGCGCCGGTTAGGGTGCCAACCATGATGATGGCGGCAAAGGCCACAGCCCAGACGCCGCCTCTGAATTTTTGTTGCTTGGTCAGGGTATTTGGTGAAGCCATCTTGGTCTTCTTTATCCTTCCTTTGTTAAGTCTATTTGTTTCCTGTTCGGGCTACTTGAAAAAACGTGGCGCCGTGTGTGTTGCCAGGATGCCACGATCTCACCAGCAGCCTCTCCAGATTTGATTGGCCTTGTTCTGGCGCTCAATTGGGGTCATGCCCCTCTTCGGCGAATCAGTAGTCGAGGCTGCCGAAAGCTCCAAGCTAGCCGAGCTGCGGCGGCTTGCAAGTTGAAGAAGATCCTTGCCTGACGAAGCAGATGCAGATTTTCTCTCCGGCAGGGCGGACGGCGACGACACGGCGGGCAGTGACAAGGACGCCCGCTTGTGCTTGACGATACGAGGAGCCGCAGCGGCCGAAGGAGTGTTCCAGGGATGGAGGGCCACCAGCTCTATGTCTTGGCTAGTGCTCCGGCAGGCAGAATCGGGCGGCGACGCGGGAGCAATGCGTGAGCATGCGTCGGCTTCATTGGCGGGGCCGTGAAGCTGCTGTGATGAAGTGGAGGAGGCTGAGAGACTTAGTAAGAAGCGGGGCAGGGCCAATGCTGACGAGGCTGAGGATTGGACCATGATGCCATTTTCTGGAGGATTCTCAGCGTTGCACCGAGAGGGGGAGGGAGGGGAGGAGATGAAGGGCAAGGGAGAAAGCAGAGAGAGAGAGACTGGGATGCGGCGAGCTTGTGGGATATTGGAGATTACGCAGGGAGGAGATTATAGTTTTCTGGGAGGTGAAAATGCGAGACAAAAGACATGACACTCGTCACTTGGGCCAGTGGCTGAGCCGAAGTACCGCCTTGTTTGTTATCTGTCTGTCACTAGCCACAGCGAGGCTAAGGCACAGGACACTTCCTTCCACCTTTCTGCTGTTGGAATTCCAAGGGCATCAATTGGTTTCCCCTTTTCTTGTTTTTCTTTTTCACATACACACTCCTCTCCATCCATCTCTTCTCCACCATTCAGCTACAATGATCCTAGGAAAAAGGAACCATGCCTGCACATCCGGCTACTCACCGGGCTTGGTGAGTTTGGTGGAATAACCGGATAAAGCAACGCTGCCGGGCGGGTGCTAACGCAATTGCAGCAGCTTAAGCTGGGGGCAAGATGAGCCGCCTGACATCACCAATGCCCACTAAATTGACCCCTCCGGCAACCCGCTAATCTGCTGTCGATGCACCTCATCGTCTTTGGGAATTCGGCATCGTTTCCTTGATTGCCGGGCGAATAGATGATATATATACGGCCGAACTGAGCACTCTCGTCAAGTTTGATCGCTTCTCCTGCGTTGCCAGCGCCGCCGTTTTACATTCCCGTCATCTTCTTTCTCTCTGTCAACACCGAGTGCCCGCCCATCTCCCGAAACAGCTCGACTCTGCATCGGCCTCATGGCTGCACCCCGCGTCTTCATCGTCCGCCACGGCGAGACGGAGTGGTCACTCAACGGCCGACACACGGGCAGCACCGACATCCCCCTGACGGCCAATGGCCAGAAGAGAGTCATTGCCACAGGTAGGGCTCTCGTGGGCGATGACCGTTTGATTGTTCCCCACCAGCTGTGTCATATGTAAGTCCCTCACTTTGACTCTGGTCTTCGCTTGAGCATCCAGCCTCGTCTTGTAGCGTCAACTTTGTGTGCTGCCATCACGTTAGATACGTGATTCTTGAGAGTTTGGTTTTGAAGTCAAATCCTACTCGTTCCGGTTCCCAGTCAACATTGGCTCGGTGTCGTTCATACACCACCACCTTTCAGTAAAGGATGGGGTTGAAGATGGGCAAACACCTTTTGACATTTCTTTGGCTACTCTTAGCCCTTTCATTCATCTGTGTACAATGTTTCAAATATGTAACACGTCAACTCTCACTTTCAATTTGTTTGCTGAGGTTACTACTAAGCCTCTGCACGTCATTCCGGAAGTCACTCCGGAAGTCTCCGCTCAAATGAGATGCTTCTCCCTGCCTCCTCTCCCTTGTCGATTACACCGATTTCTTATTTCTGCTGTTTCTTCAAGTTTCCTTTTGGGGGATATCAGTCATTGCCGTGTCTCACATCCATTGCACTTGTCCGCCTAGTCCAATGACGTGACTTGTGCAGAATAGCCTTGCTTCACCAGACACCTCACTCTCCTTATACCTGCTGCACACCTGGTCTCCTACTAGAGGCCATTCATCTTCTGTTGTTCGTACAGTATAGCAGTTCCAATCCCTGCTGTTAGTTCCATTTCCTACAAGCAGGGCAGGCGTTGGCCTCTGATTTCTGTAACCAAGAAAATAGTGAATGCCGCAAAATGAAGTATTTGTTGCGCACATAAGCTAATCAGTTGGGGCAATTACCCCTACTCAGTTACGTTTCCCCACGAAAGCGAGCACAACGCACCTTTGAACTGCTCAATCTTGGCATACCCGGCCCACTGCCATGGCAGCCGCATGGCAATTCCCTTGGGGGCGGTCTTCAATGCAATGCCAAAGTCGAGATTACCGAAGACATTCGGGAGTGGGACTATGGGGACTACGAGGGTATCACAAGCCCAGAGATCCGCAGAATGAGAGCCGAGCAAGGTCTTGAAGGAACTTGGGACATTTGGAAAGATGGCTGTCCAGGAGGAGAGTAAGTCACGCCTCTCCCTTGGCTCATATATCAATGAGAAAAGTGCACACGCCCCAGGACATACAGCCCCTTCTGGATGCCACCCTAGGGCCGTTGTTGTCTCAGAATCATACGATACACTCTTCAAGTTTATATCTGATATGTTACAGGAGCCCTCAAGATGTCACCGACCGTCTCGACCGTCTTATCGCCGACATTCGCAAAAGATTTCATGAGCCTATACTAAATCCGCCTGAGGGTAAAAAACCACACAAGGTGTCGGGTGATATTCTGATTGTTGCGCATGGACACATTCTGAGAGCCTTTGCCATGCGATGGGCCGGTAAGACCCTTCAGGATGGGCCAGCATTCTTACTCGAGGCCGGCGGAGTGGGAACTTTGAGGTGAGAGATACATGGAATTGCGATTTCCCTTTTTCCCACCGTTTCACGCCGCTCACGCCGGTCACCCACCTCTATTTCCCTCATCTACCTCTCCGCAGACCAGATGAATTGATATATCTACCATGTCAAAGTTCACTAATAACGCTTACGTTGATTCTAGCTACGAGCATCACAATATTGATGAACCAGCCATTCTCCTCGGTGGAGCTTTTGTTGTTGATCTCGAAGAGAAGGGACAGTAATCTGGGGTTTGAATTTCGCAAATATCTTCTTCGTGATAGATGCCCTGCATCATATAGAATAATCCATCTTCTTCACAGCTTGCACCAACACACTTGAAGCAACACAAGACGACTTCACCAGGCTGCATGCTGATGCATTCGTTGGATTGACATGTACACTCTCATCGTACTCATCTCATTGCATAGGTCTTTTACATATCTCTACCTGTTTGACTTGGCGGCTGTGTTTCGTCGGCATAATGTTACGTTTGGTATTGCTCATCCCCTGGGTTGCTCATCCCCATGGTTTATCTGTCTCCTTTCCTTCTTTGCGCAAGCCTACTTGGACGATATGTCAATGGTTCCTCTGGCTCCCTCCTTTTTCACTTTTGTCTCCCGAGAAAGGAGTGGAAGTCATCTCTTTATCCGCGGAGGCGAATAGAAGGAGTCAGATCTGTCTGTTCTGTTCAACTTCGGCCGCCCAAAAACCACAGATAGGCACGGGAAACGTAAACTGCCATCTCCAATGAGTTCTTGCATCAAGATCAAAATATACTATATAATTCCACAGTCGAATCATCCGCCATTGCTAAGGAAAGGTTACGTATTAGTTAGTTACTAGTCCATCACTTCAGCCACTTGAACTAAGCATCAGTGTCTTCATTCAAAGG